TAAAAACAGAAAATTTATCGGTCGATAGCCGCACGGTTTAAGGCGTCAGTACTTCAATCGATGTGTGCTATCTGCCCGGATTTCGAATCCCGCGGCCAGCAGACAGTAGATCAGCTATACTTGTACGGAGGATTGGCATGCCCTGTAGGGTGGAAGAATGTTGGCTTGGGTCAATGTGAGAGATTGACACCGGTTGGCATTTGACCACCCCCCTAATTAATGAGGTTTTCCTCATTCCTGCACTGAATGGTGGTTAGGGCCTACCAACATAAGTCGTTCCTGGGCGCAAATGCGGCCTGCTTAATAATAATATGCCGCCTCCTCTTCTGCACAAGTCTCCGACTTCTGGGCTAATTCTCGTAATTAGAATGAGGAGAGAGATTAGAGAGATATTATTATAGAGAGAATCTTAAAAAAACTGCACGTTCCAGAAGAAAAGACTAGGTAGTAACACAAACTTTTGGGTGTGCGAAGAATAAATGTACACCTTAAAAAATTTGACTTAAAGTCTTAGATATCATGACGTTCCTTTAATTGTCGCTGATTGGTCTTTGTTTTGCGCCACTGGAATCCTGTGGTGTGAAATAGATTACGCAAACTTTCCCTGCCGCCTTTTTCACGAAACTTTTTGTGGTTACGTCTAGGTGCTATTTTTTTTAACATACCAATTTTAAACGTCCACATCATTTGAAATATTTTCCATTTATTCTTAATCATTGTTTTCACACTAACGCTAGTTGCTTTTTCAATAATTTCTTGTACTTCTTCTGAAGAAATTAATACATAGCCATTTGTACATCTTCTGTAATATTATTTAATTATATTGTGTACGATTTCACTACTGTACACAAGTGAAATGAATTTCAAGATTCAAACAACTTTTCCTCAGACTGTATCGATATTCACTTTTCGAAGTTCAGACAGAGAATGATCTCCGATGCTTGTCTGGTAACGTTGCCACTACGCATGTGAAATTCTCGGACAAGATGGATTTGGTCAAGCTGTCGTGAGTAAAATATTTCATTTTATGCCTAAAATAGGAAAGTAGAGTCCGTAGTGGCAATATTATGCAGTCTAGAGAGCTTATACTGATTTAAGAAGTGAAAATATTTTTTACACGAAATAGCTTTCCAGTAATTTACTCAAACACTTTATAAAAGCAAAACAACTTATCATAATAAAAATAAAGTGTTCCTTTTTGCGATTTAATAAACACCAGTGTAATTCAAAATCTCTGACTCTGCATAAGTAGACCAAGCAAATTAAATTTTTACTCGAAAAAAGTCCTATCCGCTAGATTATTGTAAAATTGTCTAAAGGAACATAATACAAGACATCTCTCGTCTCGCGAGTCAAAAACTTTTATTAGCTAACTTTTCTATTTAAACAAATAAGTGAGGAAAACAGTTTTTTCACTTTGCAGGGAAAACCATCAATTTTAGCGAAAAGTAACTCGCAGACAGCTTATAGGGAGTAAAATTATCTACAAAATGAGACTGGTTAAATTAAAATCGGTTAATAAACAAAAAAGTTATTGCAAAAAAACAAGAAAAGTGCCCATTTTTTCATTTGTTTATAACTATCGCATTTATTGTTAAAATTTTATAAAACCTATGACAAGTTGAGGGTTTTGTCATACTTTAAAAGTGTGCCAAAAGTGGGCGCTGTAGGTGCAATAGTTTTCGCACAATTCTATTTGTTTATAGCGGAGGCTCCAAAAGTTATGAACTTTAAGCCTCTGTACAGACGTTAATTTTCAATCAAACATGATTCTGAAAGCGTCATTGTAATCTTAAAGACGCAATTAAGCGACCTATTAAAAAATATCACCGTTTTTTTGACATTAACATTCTCAAATTGTGCATTAAAAAACCGTGCGTTTTTCGCTTATAAACAATTTGAATAACATTGTTGCTATTTATGCTATCTCACCGAAAATAGATGCAATGGATAGCTGGCAAAAAAATACAGTTTTAAAATAAAAAAAGTACCCTCTACGACCAACAGGAGCCAAGATAAGATTTTTTTTTAAAAAAATCGTAGCGCAATTGTTTATAAATATTAAGACTTGAATTTTTCGCAAAATAAAGTTTACGACGTAAACTACGATTTCCCGTGAATTGCATTGAAAAATGTGGAAAATTAACGACTCACGAGCCCTTTAAAGAGAAGGTACTCGCTAAGTAAACTGTCCGGCGGCCGGCGGCGTGGTGGTGGGGGAAGCTCGTCCAAGCGGTCGCGCGCGCGAGAAAAGTTAATTCCAAAGTTCAAATTGAAATTTTACAACATCTCTGCTTCTATTCATCGTAGAAATTTATTTTTTTAACGGGTAGCTCGACGAAAAAATAACAATGGGCATATTTACGAATTCGTAGAATAGCCCTGAACCCCAGAAAAAATGCATCTTTTATACTTAATTTTTTTTAATTTACAAAAATGTCACAAAAATTATTGTTAAACGAAATATTAATTAAAATTTCAATTTCGGAATTATTTTACTATTATTAAATAAATAAATGAAGCTATCGTTCATTTAAAAAGTTATTTTTTTTACATATTAAGGCAAAGTAAACTTGTTTTTTCAATATTTTGTTAGCTATTTAATTACGATTTAAATGTAAAATTAAAGTAAAAATTCACAAATTATTTTCAAATTATTATTTATTGTTAAAAGATTTAAAAAAGAATAAAAAGCATTTGAATTTATTGCAAAATTCTCAAAATTAAAAAATATTAAAAATAACGCGGTCGATAAAATTACAATTTTAACTTCCTGAAATTTTAATATATAAAGTTTTTTTATTATATTTATTACTAATTTTATAAACATAATCAAAATTAATTCAAAAAATATTAATCACAACCATTTTCAATAATAGATATAAATAATGCAATATAATACAATTTAAAATTTAAAATTTTTTCTATTTTTATGAGAAATAATAATTTGAAAATAATTTATGAATTTTTACTTTAATTTTACATTTAAATCGTAATTAAATAGCTAACAAAATATTGAAAAAACAAGTTTACTTTGCCTTAATATGTAAAAGAAATAACTTTTTAAATGAACGATAGCTTCATTTATTTATTTAATAATAGTAAAATAATTCCGAAATTGAAATTTTAATTAATATTTCGTTTAACAATAATTTTTGTGACATTTTTGTAAATTAAAAAAAATTAATTATAAAAGATGCATTTTTTCTGGGGTTCAGGGCTATTCTACGAATTCGTAAATATGCCCATTGTTATTTTTTCGTCGAGCTACCCCAGTTTAAAAAAAAAAAAAGTTTCTACGATGAATAGAAGCCGAGATATTGCAAAATTTACAGCGCGCACTTCCCCCACCACCACGCCGCCGGCCGCCGGACAGTTTACTTAGCGAGTACCTTCTCTTTAAAGGGCTCGTGAGTCGTTAATTTTCCACATTTTTCAATGCAATTCACGGGAAATCGTAGTTTACGTCGTAAACTTTATTTTGCGAAAAATTCAAGTCTTAATATTTATAAACAATTGCGCTACGATTTTTTAAAAAAAGATTCTTATCTTGGCTCCTGTTGGTCGTAGAGGGCACTTTTTTTATTTTAAAACTGTATTTTTTTTCCAGCTATCCATTGCACCTATTTTCGGTGAGATAGCATAAATAGCAACAATGTTATTCAAATTGTTTATAAGCGAAAAACGCACGGTTTTTTAATGCACAATTTGAGAATGTTAATGTCAAAAAAACGGTGATATTTTTTAATAGGTCGCTTAATTGCGTCTTTAAGATTACAATGACGCTTTCAGAATCATGTTTGGTTGAAAATTAACGCCTGTACAGAGGCTTAAAGTTCATAACTTTTGGAGCCTCCGTTATAAACAAATAGAATTGTGCGAAAACTATTGCACCTACAGCGCCCACTTTTGGCACACTTTTAAAGTATGACAAAACCCTCAACTTGTCATAGGTTTTATAAAATTTTAACAATAAATGCGATAGTTATAAACAAATTAAAAAATGGGCACTTTTCTTGTTTTTTTGCAATAACTTTTTTGTTTATTAACCGATTTTAATTTAACAAGTCTCATTTTGTAGATAATTTTACTCCCTATAAGCTGTCTGAGAGTCACTTTTCGCTAAAATTGATGGTTTTCCCTGCAAAGTGAAAAAACTGTTTTCCTCACTTATTTGTTTAAATAGAAAAGTTAGCTAATAAAAGTTTTTGACTCACGAGACGAGAGATGTCTTGTATTATGTTCCTTTAGACAATTTTACAATAATCTAGCGGATAGGACTATTTTCGAGTTTCTCTTTTATTTTCGCTAATTTTCCTGGTGTAAAGGGGTAAGTGTGTATGTTACGTTTCCAGAAATTGGAGGTAATGTAATAATTTTACTTTTTTTGTGCAAAGCTGTTTCGCTAATCTCTACTTTTCAGAAAACTTTTCTACTTTGCTTTACTTTACTAACGAGTAATTTTTTGGCTGTATCAATTTGTTCTAGGGTTACAATTTTGCAATATGGATGTTTTATTTCATTTTGTTATGATGTGTGAGCAAATTTCAGCTAGTAATTAAATTATAGAATTTTCTGATATATGTAGATATGTAAGTGCGCCAATTTATGGAAACGTACCCAAACTAAACTATACAGACTATTTTCTATTTGCTGTTAAAGATTAACAAAAAATGTAACTTTTATAAAATTTCTTACTATAATAATTTTAAAGAAATTGCTTTTGCTTTCTATATTTATGTGCAGTTATATTTCTGTATAAGTCTTGGAACTATTAAAAATAGTAAACTACCTACTTAAAAACAAAATTACTTCAAATTGATGGCATGTTCGCGCACTAGATACAAAAGCCAGCAGAAGAAGGAAGCAATAAATAGATGTATAAATATAAATAATTCGGGATACTTCGATAGCTAGATAGAGTCTAATCACCGATGACAATTTCACGCACTAGCTGTTGTTATGTTTTTTTTTGTGATTTTCCTAAACCAAAATCATAGGTACGGCTATCGAGGTACAGATTCTAGGAGAAACTTGTGGGTACTGCCCACTGGTGAATTACTTTATTTTGTAGCAGCTGTCGCTGTAATGTATGATAGAGATGAAGAGACTCAGAGGCATTATACCGGACATACCGAAGACATCCAGTGGTAAGAACCAATCAACATGTATTTAAAAATCGATAAAATAAGAATAAATGGCTGATCGAAGTTCTACCAATTTCCAGTCTTGTAGGACAATTTTTATATATTTTAATTTAACCGACACATTCTATCTGGATGCAGACTAGACTCTATAAAATTATTTAATTTGAATATAACATTTTTACAGAAAACTAGAAACAGTTGTTAAAATTTCATTAAACTTAATGCACAGTTTATCTAATTTCAACATTTTATTCCAAAACCCACTTTATTTCGATTTTTTATTAACAAAGACATAAGTCAGACGATATAAAAAAGAAATAGGTAACATAAAGCATATTTAATATTTTTCATCACTGCTTATTTATTGTTTGTTACTGTATGTACATTTTAACGAATAAAAATAAGCCTTTGCTTCCTCACTTAAGAGCAATGTTAATATCGAAACTTAAAAACAGTTATTTTTTATAATTTAATTTGTATGTCCATTGATTTGGATTTTGAAATAACATGTTGACATTAAAAGAACTTTGCATCACGTTTAATGCATTTTCAGTTATTCGGATATTTAATTTTTCTTAAAAAATGTGGTTAAATAATCATCAATAAACTCATTTAAGCGACGACAATATTTAAAATAAATTATTAGACACAGAAAGTTCCATGTTTACTTCTGGGTACGGGATTTGACATTATAAGAAAAAAAATTTTAACAAAATAAAATTTTCTTTTGACAAGTGTTTTCTGGAATGTCCCAGGAAACAGTTATCATACAGTAACCACTATTTCTCAGTTAAAAACAAATGAATTTTAGTAAACTTATTTCAATCTAAAAATGCTTAATTTAAGAGTTAAAAGTTGGTTAAATTGTTAAAATTTTTCTTTTGAAACAGTTCTTAATTAATTTTTGAGAACCAACATTATATCTGATTCAAAATTGGTACCTGCGGGAAACAATAAAAATCGTCTTCAATCATTGCTGCAGTGACGTATGGATGTGAAAATATGTTCTCCTATCTTTTAAGGAAAATTACATGTCGATTCCACACGAATATTGCTCTTCATCAGTTTATATTAAAATCGCTAGATTTCGAATAAAAATAGAATATTTTATTTGCTCAAAAAAAAAGAATTAACTAATGTGTATGAACTTTTTTGTTTATTTAAAAAGAAAAGTTGGGAGGATGCCAAAAGTAATGTTCCTACAACATAGTTCCTATTTTTTTCTTTTTTTTACTCGAAATCTACCAATTTGAAAGAAAATTGACCAATTGTTGTATTGATCAATTTGGAAATTTCATTGCTTTCCTGAAAAGCACTTGTTATTTAACCTAAAGAATCTATAGTCGCTGTATGACCACTGTCTTTAGGGACTTCCTGTATGTTAGACAGTTATTGACTGTTTCTTCTTTTGACAGTATGGATTTACATCCTTCGCGGGAAATGGTTGCTTCGGGGCAACGAGCTGGTAGGAATAGGAAAACACAGGCTCATATCAGGATTTGGAGTACGGAGACCTTACAAACTTTATACGTTTTTGGCATGGGTGAATTTGAAGTAGGAGTAGCAGCTGTCGCTTTTTCAAATCTGGTAAGAAAAAAATTCATTATGTTTCCAAGTCTATTTGGAATAAAATATAAAGTTATCTAACTCGGGGGCTTATTATATAGGTCATAGTAAAAAAAATAGGTTGATTTATTAAAAAAAAACGAATTACAGTTTTTATTTAACTACCTACTGCTAACCTGCTGTTTATTTCAACAAATTATGTTCTTTTTTCAATAATAAAATTTGTATTGGGTTTTTGCGAATTTGTTTTTCATACAATCATACATTGCAAAATGTTTTAAATTTATGAAGAGTTTAAATTATTATCTTATTTTTATCACTTTATCTAATTTCTTGTCAACTTAAGATTTACTATCTACAGAGTATTCACTATCTGCTTTTTGTCTCTCTTTCAGGAAATTGCCTTGCTTTTTCAAAGAAATATGTAATAATATAATATAATATAAACCCAATTAATGTTTCGAAGATACGAATATAAATCAACCTTTTGTTTTTTTTAATGGAATACCCTGTATATTTGTCGTTTTTTGGAATCCTCTCCTTTTTCTGATTACAGTGATATATTCATGGTTCATACATGCTTCAACAGTTTGCATAATATTTTAGTTATTTACTGACCCACCACAATGGATAAAGTCAAGGTTGCCATGGAACCAGTGCATACTTTTCCGCTATTAAATTTTAAATATTTTTTAGACAAAAATACTATACTGTAAAGGGTGTTTTATAATAACTCCACTGTGTTTTCTTGTGAAAAGATAAACTAATATAATTTGACCTTCATATACTTTCAAAATATCAATTTTCAAACGTCATTATTACGAAAACTCATAGATCTTATATAGTTTACTAGGTCTATGCGAGAACCGCTGATTTTAATGATATGGTATGTTATACAAAAAGTGTTCAGAATTTACCGTACAATTAAAAAATGGCATAATACACAGGATGTTTCATTAAAAAAATCAATGATGACTGCATATGTTCTTCTTGAGACACCCTGTATACAATTTTCTTATGTCAAAAAATCTGTAACTAAAAATACTAATAGACGTGTTCGAGCATTTTTCCACAAAATAATTACCTGAATTTTAAATTAATTTGTTCCTTTCATCATGAACGTACTGTATATATTTCTGAAATAAAATTTCTGAAACTTTGGTCTTTACCATTTTTCCTAAATATAAAGGTAAAAAAAACATAATGTTATGTGAATGAGTGTTAACAATGTTATGGAGACACTGTCCCAAAAATAAATAAACCAAATAAATTTGGTTGCTGAGCATATGAACAACCTGAATTTTGTATCCGACTCTAAAAGGCAAAATTAGCATTCATGAAAACAGTGTTATGTTATGCACTTACCACATATTCAACTATTTACTCATGTTTAACTAATAAATATTTTTTCTAGAATGGTGGCAGCTATGTATTGGCTGTTGATGCTGGTAGAGAAAGTATATTGTCTGTGTGGCAATGGCAGTGGGGACATTTATTAGGAAAAGTCGCTGTGAGTATACTAGATTAGAAAAAAGGAGATCTGCTGTTTTTTATGTGAATAACCATGACGTTTAGGTTTCAATATTGATTAAACTGAAATATAATACCTGTCTTCCTACCAATTTTCGGCTACTTGAAATTATTGGCGCCAAATACTTGTATTTCTAAGAATTATGTGTTGACAATGAGTATTCTTGACCCAATTTACCTCATAATACATAAATAAACAGCCGAAATAATTAAATATAAGACAAAGGAAACATGTACCCCATGCGTAGCTGTAATATACAATTAAATATGGCTATATCTATTGATATCTATATCGATATAGCAACAAATTAATTCTGTGCACTCTGCAGAGTGTAATAAAAATGGGACGGATTTTTTTGAAGGCTTCGTAACTCTTCAAAAATTTCCATATGCCATTATTAATAAAACAACGTCTTTTTCTTAGATTATGCCTTAAGTGAAAAAATACTTGCAAACATTTTTTGTTCAGCATTAATTGGAGATTAGAAAAAACATCTACGTATAAAATTGGAAAACCAATTGCCTGCATATTTTTTTCCAAAATAATATAGATATCACTGCCCAAAGGATTGCCATTGAAGACGTGATAAAAACATGTCTCTAATTGGATATTTGACTGAATAATTAAAAATTTTCAAATTTGCATCACTCTTTAGCCAAGAGAATAAATATTTTAGAAAGTGTGTTCATATAAAGAGACATTGTTTTAAGAAAAAAAAAACATTTAAGCAAAGAACGCTTCATTTTCGAGATACATAAATTTTCAAATTTGCAGCACTCTTTAGTAAAAAGATTAAACATTTTAGAACTTGTGTTTATATAAAATGATCTTGTTTTGAGAGAAAAAAAAACATATTTAAACATAGAAAACTCTTCATTTTCGAAATACATAAAAAATGTCACCTTAAGATATTTATTAAGATATTTAACGCAGATTGATGAAACTTGGCTAAAACTTGGGCAAAAATTGATTTAGTTTATCTCGAAAACGAAGCATTTCACGATCTGTATTTATACTAATTTTTTTCCTTAGAATAATGATTTGACTGCTGAAATGACTAAAGGAATCACCTTAAGGGCACCGCATTCTTTAAATAGTGTTTTCCCCAAAGACAAATATTTCAAACATTTAATAACTGAATAATCTAAAGCTTATCAAATAATAGGAATGTTATGCCATGCCACCTGAGTATTTTCAAAGACGCCGCAGTAAAACGAATAAACAGGTGCAAAAAACGATAAAACCATCAAGGTTTTAGGTACTGAAATCTAGGAAAATAATAACTTTTTTATATACAGGGTGTCCCGAAATTCATGCAACAAAATTTGGTCATAGATTCTTAAGACAAATTTAGGGGACCCGTATTTTTTCTTTTTGTCAACTGGGCCACTTGGTAAAAATAAAAAATACGGGTCCCCCAAATTTGTCTTAAAAATCCATGATCAAATTTTGTTGCATGCATTTCGGGACACCCTGTATAATTCCACATGTAAATATTCTTATAACATTTACTTGCTTAGTCCTACATATAAAATTGTTTACTTTTATTTGTAAGTACGTGAAAATAATTCTTAAAATATGGGATTAGGATAATAGCAAACGCATGTTTTACAAACGGTTTTTTAAAGTTATTATTTTATTTGTGTAAATTTAAATAGTAACAATGAATAAACAGAACATCAAGGATTTTATTTTTGTGTTTACTTTTGTTCTACACGTTTTACTTTTCAAGATTTCAGTACCTAAAAACACTAAAAACGCCAGAAATTTGATTATTTCTCAACCAGGGATATGGTCACCTTAAATATTTTAGATTATTTAGAAACGCCCTGTATATTTTGATGCAAAAAGACAATTAAAAACAAATTCTTCATAATAACCATTATTTCGCAAGCGTTCTTCAAGTACCCTTTTACACATTTTGATACAAACTAAAACAAAATTGCGGAAAAATTATTCTAACCTGTAAACATAGACATACATTAGAAAAAAATAAGTTATACCTACACCAAATCTCAATAGAAAACTTTTTATCCAATAACGACTTCCAGGCGTGTCTTACACGACTGTATATAACACATTACTCCCTCTTTCCATAAGAAACGTCATATTTTAAATAATTCATTCATAAGCCATCTGCATAAACACCGTTTTCGTGATAAGTTTTGCATATAACGACCTCACCGAGACGTTCACCACCACCGAAATGAAATTCTCACCTTGACCTCCCCTCTTAGCGTTGCGTTGTCGATGTCGGTGTCAATTAGCAGAAATTATTTTAATGAAAATATAGCAATATCTACATAAATAACGTATTAACATCTTTTAAAACGGATGAAGATTAGTAGGTATCGGTTAGAGCTGTCATTATGGAAATTTAGCAATTCAATTAACTATTATACAGAGTCATTCATTTTTGTTCCATGGATGATATACATACCTTCTTCCGAATTTTGACACAGAAAACCTAATCTGCCCTGGGAAGTGTAAAAAATTACCCTGAAACCTAGAGAGCGGTCTAAATTCTGCAATTAGTAGATTTTTTCTTGGGCATAGCCTGAAAACGAGTAGACACATCATATTAATGGAACTTATGCACAGTTTGACTATCAAAAGACTCAATAAATTCTTGTCATCCTTGGCAACTGCAAAAACACCAGAAAACTATCCTGAGACGTTTTCCTTGTGCGATTCTCAGATGCCGAGCCAGTACAATCGCTTCGGAATTGTCCAGGTGTACTTTGTGGAGAAAGGTTCGGGGTTCAATAATAGTAAGTAACACCGAACTACATTTATAATAGTAACTATTCCCGACACTAAAACGCATATATCACGAACGTTTACAAAAATAAATCAAGGAAACGACACAGTTAATTAAATAGGCCCACAAACAGAAATCGAAAAGTCCTTTTTCCCAGACTAGGTGACCATCATGGTTTTGGGGTTGCTGATCACGATTCCGGTGTCCATATGACCCCACGACATCTAGATTCTAGTTAATTCGAATGACAATTTTTTTGACCACGGATTCTGAAAGAGCGGATAATTTTACGCCCGAATACACTTTGACCTGTCGGTCTAACTGAAGGTCATTTGCAGGTCATCTAGAGGTCAAACCTTTCTTTTGATCAGGGATGGGCGTTTACGCGTCGACTTTAATTGTCGACGTCTACGTGTAGACTTCGCGTAGACTATGTAAACAACGTAGACTATGTAGACTATGTAGACAAAGCGGAGTTTGCGCTCTAATTTCAGTTTAATCTAACCTATATTATATTTGCGTTACATTTACGTATGATCTATTTTATGCTGTACTCAATTCATCACTCAACTTTTTCTGTTTGGCTGTTTTTACATAAACATAAAATGAGCGGACGTAAAGCAAATTATAATTTTGGTCGGTTAAGATTAAGAAAGTGAAAACTTTCATTTTTGTATACTTAATATATATTTTTTTATATTTTTTAAAACAAAAATTATTATAAAAACAATTATATAAATATATAAATTAAGACAGTCAGTAAAAAACAGTTTATTTAATTTTAAAATTTTAGTCTCCATTCGTGACCTAATTAAGCGAAAACTAGGGAATATATATAATACTCATATATATATAGATGTACATATACCAATAAATACACATAATATTTAGTTTGAGAAAATGCAATAAAAAACATTATCTTGTGCCTGTGCAAATATTTACATAAATATGTTACCATTTATCGTTTATTGAAAAGCTCAGCTCTATATGATCTGTATTAAAATCTTAGATCTTATATATTTACATAATATGATCTAGGATTGAAACAAAAATTATTTTGAAAAGGTACGTATATTATAAATTAGTAGAAATAATTAATAAACATTTTTTCTATTAATTTCTGTAACTTTAACATCTTTAGAAAAAATAAAATTAACGTGTTCTAACTAAACTAAAGTATCTACACAAAGTGTTCTTAAAACTTAATCAGATATTCCAAATTGTTGCTGACTTTAAATATGATAAAATTTTCATTAAAGGATATATGCGACATATCTTTATTTAGAGATTTTATAGAAAAAAAAATGTTGGTCAATCTGACCTGACCTAAAACTATCGAGGAGCATCAAGCGAGACACACTTTTTTTTTCTCGTGAATTCTCGGCAGATATTGTTTGATCTTTTGTACTCGGTTCATACATTTTTTTTTGTAGATGGTTGTGAGAGGTAGGTACTTTTCCAAATTCCAAATTTTCAATTTTTCTTTTTTTGCAAGAATCACGAGTTACAGCCTTACGAAATTCTTTTTTTGAGGTACATACCTACCACACCTTTTTCTAGTTTTGAGAGTTTCTTTATTGTTGACATTGTCGACATTGTCTACATTGTCGACTCTTCCAAATTAAGTCTTCATCTAGATCATTGTCTACGCGTAGACAATTGCATTGTCTACGTCGACACTGTCTACCCGCCCATCCCTGCTTTTGATCACTCGGTTGATATATCAGCTAAGAAGCGAAATATCGTATATATTATCTCTATGAAAGTTCAGGGGAATTAGTCTCTCTCTCACGGAAAAATACGTACTTAACTTCACTTCACACAGTTGAGTGTGATTTCGTGAAATAATAGGTTCGTAGTCCAAAATGAGAAATCAGTTGAGTGTTCAATTTCAAGCTTGAGTACCTATTTACATTCAACCGACTTTAAATTTTAAACCATGAGCCTATCACTTTACGAAATTACATTCAACTGTTGAAATTTTCTACAGTAATGTATTTGATCTTCATTTAACCTTGATCTAGACGTGATGGGGTCATATGGACACCGCAATTGTGATCAGTGACCTTAAGAGTATAAACTTCAGCTGGTCCGAGACCCATTTCTAGCTATCAGCCGAGAAATCAAAAGGATTTGACCTTTAGATGACCTTCAGAGGTAGGTTCGACCAATAGGTCGAAGCGTTTTCCGATATAAAATTTTGTACTCTTCCGGTGTCAAACAATTTTTATCATTCAAGTTAACGTGTTTGACCTTCATTTGACCTTGATCTAGACGTGATAGAGTTATATGGACAAAAACAAAGGACTTTTCTATTTTTATTTGTGGGCCTATGTTATTTGGAATTTTATAAAAAAATATCTAAAACAACGACCAAAATAGGCTCACTTATTCTTGGCAATGCCCGATGGGAAGGTCACGAATCAGGTGTTATTACACAAATAATATTCACTTACCACCAAATACTTACTAACAACAGTAGGTAAAGTAAACTTTTATTGAAAAAAGTAAACTTATCGTTGACACGGACGGAGTTCCTGGCAGAAGCCAATGGCAGGCGGAGAGGACCTAGTGCCACGGAAAAACCTAGCAGTATGTGGCGAGACTGGATTCCTGGCAGGACAAACCAGTGAAAAATGGAGAGGACCTAGTGTCATGGAAAGTCTTAGCAGCACATAGATGAGTGAGATTTTGGCAAAGTAAGAATGCTTACAGATAGAGGTAAGGAGTCGGGAAGAGGAGTTTCAAAAGAGCAGCATTCTCTATCAGGCTGGGTCCCTTATGTCGTCTCCTCATGATTGTGGTCGTCGTGCGATGCCGTAGTTTCGAAACTCGACATTTGGTGACTGGGACTACAAGAGACACCTTTGGTCCTATAAGTTGATAATGTTGTAGATGCCGTGAGCACCGTGCCCGGAATTATTTTTGTAAACAAATTCTCCTTAAAAGGTTGTGACACTCCTATCTCTTGGGTACCGTACTATGTGCTTCTGTTTTTTCACTGGTAAGTGGAAAGGTATGACTTTGTCTTTATGATTTGTGTTTGATTTTAGATTATTTAATTATAAACTCTTATTACACTTAAATTCTTTTTTGTTTATTTAAATAACTTTTTGTAAATTATTATATTAATATTTTCTACTAGTTGGCTGAAGACTAGCTTAATTTTAAGTTTTAAGGGTGGTTTTCTGGTATATTTGCACTGAGGAGTCACAAGCGTTGAATGGGTTTTATAATAATTAATATATTTATGATGTCCCCAAAATATGCGTCGACTCTTTTCTAAGGTGAAAGCAGGGTTTTGACTGTCTTTTAAGTTTCTGGGTAGTCTCTTGGCAATTTAAGGATTATTTTGGATTTCTGGTCAAAGAACATAGGGTAGAACATACCTATACCCATCCTTACTGAAAGAAGTATATTGGCGTGGATAAGTGGCATTCAAACTTCTCGGCTAATACGTAGAGGTGCTCTGTCTTGCATAAACTAAGGTATCTGAAGGCAAATTTTCAAATAATGTGTCTCGCAGACACGTAAGAAATGGTGCTATAAATCTTTAAGATATTTTAAATTGACAGCTATAAAATTATATTTTGTAAATGCTGTATAATTATACAGGATGATTCAGAACTTATCCAAAAAATGGATGTACAGGTGACTCTTACAAATACAATTTTGTAAACAAAAAATTAAAAAGGACAGTTCGAAAATCATTTAAAAATACACTTTGCATGGCACTGGAAACTGGTCCACTGTAAAATCTTAACTCGCACAATGCGACCGGCATGGCGGCAAAATGTGATAAAAAAAGACAAAAACTTGAAAAAATTTCTCGAGGAAAGAAATCTGTAAATAGAATTTTATAGCACCTATTTTATACTAGCTAATTCAACTGCTTTTGCCGTTGTTGTTATTATTAATTAATAAAATTAATTTGTGTTTTTAAATAATAAAATCATTTGATATACCCGATGCTGCAACAGCAATTGTTCAAAATTTTATCCACTCACGTGTAAACACATTTGGGTCCGTCTTACTCAGTTTCTACGAACTAACACAAATGTTGTCTTGCTTCAACATAAATTAAAACGATATCCATCAACTCTGAGTTGCTATACCTGCAAGCCATTTTTGACACTAACTACTAAAAAATTATTGTAAACACTATAAATTGTAAAATCGGATTTCAGTATTCCGAGTCGCTGAGTCCACATGGCTCTCACGCGTATTGCAAATAATTTTAGAGACTACAGTTGTCCAGCTATGTAATGGTTGAAAATACAACTTCAATAATTTTTTTTCTCGGAAACTATAAGTATTTTACAATTTTTTTTTACCATATCGATTGTATAAATGTCATCATTTATTAAAAAAACGTAACATTAATTTGATAATTTGATGGTTTTGTATTAGAATTAACATTGTCACTGGCGAATCCGCCATTTTCTAGAAAATTTTTAAATTTAAGTTTAATACACATTTTATTGAATGTAATTAATTAAGCCTCGATATAATTAGAAACTAATTTTCAGTAATAAAATCATGGGAATAGAATAGAATATTAGATATATTCTAAATGATGCCATTAACTTATTTCTTGTTTATAATCCTGATGTTTTTTGGTTAACGATATGTAGAAAATGATTTTATTTTTAAAAACAGTCACTCGGACCGTTTTTAAAAATATATTGAACAACATTGCAGCGACACATTTTTAAAAAGAAAAATAAATAATGTCGTGACAGTCCCGAATTAAATTTGTAGTAAACTCGCCGATTACGTGTCAACTTTAACGATTTTGCAAAGAAAACAACGTCTGGCTTACGTTTATGAAAAAATTGCATGCGTCTGGATATTTTCTTAATATTTAGGTCCCATTTTTCAGACTTTACAAGAGGAGTTAACGGGGGCAGTTTTCCATCCTTTAGACGATAACCTGATGATAACCCACGGAAAGGGTCACCTGACCTTCTGGAACAGGAGAAAGGACGGATTTTTCGAGAGAACAGACATTATTAAACCAGTAAGATTTAAACAATAATGTTGCTGTTTTTACATGCTCTATTAGACGCATTTGATTTTATTAACAAAATAGAAAATGTAAAACGTAATATTTGTAATTTGGTTTAACATTCTTGCTGCTGTGCTTTTATTCTCCGTTTAAATTTAAAAAATATTTTCTTAAAAAAATATTATTACTAGCTTCTGCAAGAACTATTTTTACATTTTGGCTACCAATCTATAATGACTGGAATCTAAATCTATACTGTCACCATCTCAATTTAGATTTAGGAAGATTTTTTTTCACTAACAAAGCCTTATTAGCAATATCACATTGAGGCAATATCACACATCGTTTGCAAAAATTGGTGAGCAGAAATTATTGGAACTATTTTTAGTCATATAAAAACATATATTTTTTTCAAATTTGCTGTAGTTATTTAGCGGTCATTTAAATGACAATCAAAATTAATGAAATTAGTTAAAATGATTAAATAATTACTAATTACATATATATAATAATTTTTTCTTGTAGCCCTCAAGGACCTTAATAACCTCGCTACAGTTCGAACAAGACGGTGACGTCATAACAGCAGACAGCGACGGTTTCATAACGATATACAGCGTCGACGCCGATGGTGCTTACTTCGTCAGAATGGAGTACGAAGCTCATAATAAGGGAGTGAGTTCTTTGATTATGCTGTCGGAAGGAACACTCCTGTCTGGTGGAGAGAAAGACAGGAGGATAGCTGCCTGGGATTCGTTGCAGAACTACAAGAAAATCACAGATACCAAGGTAAGGGCAAATATTCTTTAAAAATGTTTCCTGTTTCCTTCTTTTCTTGCACAAAATAAACAATTTTATAATAATTCGTTATTCATGAAGGATGTTAAATTATTTAATCTTGTATCCCTTACCTAGTTGTTATATCTAGACAATTTTTTTTTTAGTTTTAATGTTCGTTATAATTAAATTTATTTTGAAACTACGATTATTATTATTAATAATAATAATAATAATAATNCATTTATTTCCAACAGGTAAACCCAATTACAGGAAATACATAGCAAATGAAAAATAATAATAGAGAACAGTTACACTTATAATCATAACAAAACCACTAAGTTTATTTTGACAAAATCTATTCTGTATAAGAGAAAAGTTGAAAAAAATAAATAAATAAATTTGACTAACTAGGTATATCTAGAATTGCTCGTTGTTGTAAACAACGTGTTTTATTGTATTTAGTGATGAAAAATTAATATCACAGTAATTACAGATTTTATTAAAATGATAACATGCATTATAAATAGGTGCTTTAAGTAAAATATTAGTTCTAGGCCTATCACAGTAAAAAGTTTGGTTATATCTTGAACCAGTACGCGGAACTAAAAATTGTATCTTACTAAGGAGACTACTACAATTTACGTTATTATGGATTAAATTATACAAAAATGATATAATTGACCATATCCGTCGCCGATCAAGAGAAATAGTATCAAATCTGTCCAATAATATTTGATTATCAATACCCCTGGCGGGATAGATGCCATCTTCCTTAAAAGAAATGTATTTTAAAAACCGCCTCTGAACAGATTCTATACTATCAATGTGACACTGATAAATTGGGAACCAAATAATTGATCCATACTCAAGTTTACTCCTAACCAAGGTATAATACAAAATTTTTAAGGTGCTAATATTTCTAAAATCTTTGCAGTTCCTTAATATAAAACCTAAAGTCCTATTGGCATTACTAACTAAATGATTAACCTGAGTAACAAAGGTAAGATTAGAGTCAAAGAAGATGCCTAAATCTTTTACGCAATCACTTCTTGAGATTGTAATATCATTAAGTGTATAATCATAATTATAAATTTGTTTTTTCCTGAAAAATGATACTACATAACATTTGTTTATATTTAACATTAAACGATTTGAATTACACCATTTGCCAATTAAGTTGGCTTGTACAATTTTCCTCATTCTCAATACTTGTAAAAATCTTTAAATCATCTGCAAAAAGAAGATTATTACAAGATATACTATTCGGTAAATCATTAACAAACAAGAGAAACAGTAAGGGCCCTAAATTCGAACCTTGTGGAACGCCAGAAGTAACTTTAAATTTTGACGAAGTGAAACCCTCACACTTAACAAACTGTTGTCTCTCTGTTAGGTACGATTTAATAAAATTAACAAAAATATTTGATAACCCAATACTATCAAGTTTAGCTAGTAACACGTAGTGATCAACCTGGTCAAATGCTTTGCTAAAATCCATATATAACACATCAATTTGCCCTTGGTGATCAATATTCTCACATATGTATTGAGAAATGCATGCCAAGTTTGACACACAAGAACGTTTATTTACAAATCCATGTTGACTCTGGGAGAAAATATCTTTGGTATTAGCGTAAATATGTTCATATAGTATTATTTCAAATAGTTTTGAAAAATTACATAAAATTGAAACAGGCCTATAATTAGATATTATAGATGGATCACCTTTTTTTTAATACCGGACATATGCGCGCTACTTTCCATACATCTGGATATGTTGCTGTAGATAAAGAGAGATTGAATATAAATAGCAAAGGAACTACTAAGACCTGCCCACAGTCCTTCACAACAAAGCTAGGTATAAAATCTGTACCAGATGTCATTTTATTTTTAAGTTTTTTAAGGGCGTTGAGAAAATCTACCTCGGTAATTATTGGTATATTAATATTCCTGTTAAAACTGTGCGCCATATTAAATGTTTCATTTTCCTTTCAAATTAAATAATTCAGTAGCGGAGATTCGGAGGCATCTTCATCTTTCCTTTAACATCTTTCCTTTAACAACACTAAAATTTTCGTAAAGGTAGTAGCATGTTCTGAAAGAGTAGAACAAATTACATATATCTCATCTCTTATCGATAAATATACCAATTCAAAAAAAACTGCAAAATATTGTTTTTATACCCTTCTTAATAGTATGCCTATAACAGCATAAATTGCTGATTGATTTGGGATGAGGTTCGTAATTAGTTTCATACAGGGTGTTAGAAATAAAAAAGAAGTAGGTAGTAAATGAAACTGAGAGCTTTACATTTTTTATTTCATTAATAAATACAGTATTAAAGAAAGCGTTCAAACTTTTGACAATCATGTCAATGCAGGCATTTTCTTAAAAATGAGTTACATGCTCCCTCAAATATCCCCTTTTAATCTCTAACTGCGTAGCAACCTTCTGTTGTAGAAATTAATTTGTGTAAGTTCTCAACAGGTTCTACATACATTAAACTTTTATTTATAAAAAGATATATTAGTCTGACAACTTTTGTTGCGAAAATCGAAAATTCCGTCCCTCTCAAATGCTGCCTCATTTTTGAAAAGGATTAATGCTTCTAAATTAGGATTGTAACATGTTCTTTCAAAATCCATCTACAAAATGTTAATCTGGCATCACAGTCTGGTGGATTGTCTTTTTGTACACATTGGATGTGGGGTTTTCCAAACAAAGTGGTGACTAAAAACTACATGAGCCACAATCCGCCTTATAGCACTTTTTCCAAAACTTGCTCTTCTATCTCAAGTATACAGAAGGATCTAGGTCTTCCATACATAAAATTCAGAATCTGCCATTTGTGCATTGGTATACAACGGAATTATTTATGTATTACACAGCGCCACAAAAAAAAATTGCTAGGCCCTGGATCAAACCAGTATTGACCCGATGAAACCGAATCTAAAGTTAGATTTCCCAGATCAGTTCATGCTTAGACTTTAGCAATAAGAAAGTCCTTTTGAAAGCGTTTTTCAAGGTTTCAAATCGACTTGAGTAGTCAGTGATTGGAAAAACAATCAAACTCATGGTCTCACCATAATCCAATAAAGTTGTGCTCGGCTTTAGGGGCCGCAAGAAAAAATTCCAAGCAGGATGATTTTTTCAGGGTTGCTTAGAGACTGCCTCCTGGGTATCCAACTCGATCACACTCGAACTCCTGGTACGAATTGCACTATAGGGGTGATTTCCTAAAAAAATTTTTAGAGCAAAATGACCTTAATAAAAGTTGTAGAGAATCAAATTCTGAACAACTTTTCCATATAAAATTTTTGTATGTCTAATACTTAACGAGTTACTGTGCATTATGTGAAAAAATCGGGCATGTTTTACAACTGTTATTAAAGTCATTCTGCTCTAAAAAAATGTTTAGCAAACCACCTCCATAGCGCAATTCGTACCAGGAGTTCAAGTGTGATTTTTTGGTTGGTGGATACTCAGGAGACAGTCCCCAAGCAACCCTGAAAAAATCATCCTGTTTGGAATTTTTTGTTTATAAAATGACATCTTTACTGGATTACCATAACTCCATTACTTTTTAACCCCATAACCCCGTAAACCTGCAACCCTGTAACTCGTAATTTGTTATTTGAACGATTTTGATAATAAAAATTCACGATCACTGATTTCACAGTCATCGAAGTACTATTACGTGTTTTTAGTATATATAGATAAAAAGAAAAAAACCCTGGGTGATTTTGTAATACAAATTTGTATGCCCCAGATAATGGGTCACAGGAGTTAAGGATTAAGTAGTTACAATAGGACTACAAACTCAAATGATCACAATTTCAAGGTTATACATTCCCGCACACCCCAGGGTTATGGGGTTATAGGGTTTTGGAAGCTTGCCAATTCACAATCATGTAGTTTCCACATCTGATATATGAGATTCCCACAGCGCTTTATTGTTGAACATCTTCGCACAGCCCGGGTTTTGGGGTTACAGAATTATGGGGTTAGGGAAGCCTACCAACCCACAGTTATGTAGTTTGGACCTCTGATGTATATAATCCATGTGTTCCTAGAGAGATTCATAAATCTACACTCTCGCACAACCCGGTTTATAGAGTTACGGTGTTATAGGGTTAGGGTTTTTATGGGGTCATGGGGTCACGGGGTTATAAATCTATGGGGTTATGGGGTTCTAGTGCAATGATATCATGAATTTTCAATCATCGACAAGTCAGTTTGAAATCTCAAAAACCAATTTCTACAGAAGTGTTTTAGTATTAGGGCCAAAACTGTTCTGGGAATACTGACTTTAGATTAGTACTCAACGGATCAAAGTACTAGTCTGGTTCACAGCCATACCCAGGTTTTTTTTTGGAGAGTTATTAAATAGCTTTACAACAAGCTAAATTAATGCAATTAATGCTAAAATAAAATTTGATCGAAAAATATATCAGAAACATAAACAGCATATCTTATAGTAGGGAAGCCCATGATGCTAAAAAGGGATTTACTCGAGCGCCGTGGGGACCTATTGGATTTTGAAGATTAGATGGTAGAAAGAAAAAAGGTTATATGATGTATACCCTGTCACCGGTGGGGGAAACGTCTACAGGCTTTCAAAAAATTAAAAAAAAAACAGTCACATGGAAATACTCGGGCACGTCAGATATTGATAGTGTATATGCTCTACGTGTCTCCGATGATGGAGATATGCTAATCTGCCGATTTGGATGGTGGGGGCGGCCGTACGGAAAGGTTAAAAATGGGGAAAAAAAATTTACTCTAGCGCGTCATTCTCCATTCAAAAGACTGACGATTCGGATGTGACGCAAACTCGTGGCAGTTTTTTGAAAATCCAAAAAAAATCGGCTTTTTGAAATACTCGAGCTCATCAGATTTTCATATAGATGGTTCAGCTTGATGCCCTGGTCGTGCTGATCCATAATCTGACGATTATTTGGGGGGTTTTCTTAATCTGACGGTTTGAAAAAAATATTTTTTTTTTCATTATTTTTTTTTAAATCACTGAACGTGACAAATAAAAAGCACAAATAACATGCAAATAAAAACAAATAACAAATTTTGTTGAAATTTGTAAAAAAGTTTTTTATTTTATTTTCTGTACACATAAATCTATTTCTTTTAATTATAATACACATAAACACATCATATACCGGGTGTTTCATGAAGTTCTCCCGGCACTAATAGAGGATGTTCCTTGGGTTATTTCTAGAAAAAAAGTTTATATAAACATGTGTCCGATTTGTTTTACTTTGTGAGCTACATGAATTTGAAATTTAAATGTAAAAAGTAATAATCAAATTTGTTAATTTGTTGCGTTACGTCTCGGTGCGCTACGCATTGGTCAAGTGTGCTCTGACGACATTTGCAAGGTAAAATGTTATCTAGGTTACTGTCAGTTTTGACAAACTTGCAGTTTAGTGTGAAGATTCAATTTTGCAAATTCGCGAACAATGCCTTTTAAGTTTACGACTGCTGAGTATACCGATATGGTGTTTGTTTTGGGTAATTGCGATGGAAATGCTACTCTAGCTTCACTGGAATATCAACGGCGTTTCCCAAATCGTCGCATTCCATCCCCGAAAACCACAACTTTTCATGCACTCAGAGAAACTGGTTCACTTCCAAGTGTTCGCATTCACTACGAACGGGTAAGTCAGCAGAGTGTTGTAGAAGAAGAGAATCTCCTTGATATGGCCGAGCGTAATCCCGGTGTTAGTACACGACGGATATCTTCGCCTTTAGTGATTCCCAATACCAGGGTGTGAAGAACATTAAACAGGAATCTGTTGTATCCATACCATCTACAGCGTGTTCAACATCTGGAGCCAGAAGATTTCCCTAGGCGGGTAGAATTTTGTGAGTGGTTGAATAATAATTTAGGATTTAGGATCCTATTTAATAATAGGAATTTCTATCGCTACATCTTATTTACGGATGAGTCACAATTTACCAGAGACGGTATCAACAACACCCATAACATGCATCAATGGTCGGACGTCAACCCTCATGCCACTGTAGAAAGTAATTTTCAACGTAGATTTAGCGTTAATGTGTGGTGTGGAATGTTATACGATCAACTTATAGGGCCATTTATTATTGAAGGTCGTCTTAATGGACCAAAGTATCTACAATTTTTAGAGGAAGAACTCCCGCGATTGCTTGAAGATGTACCTCTGGCAAGACGATTAAGAATGTACTTGCAACATAACGGAGCTCCACCTCATATTCCCCGAATTGTCACTGCTCACCTAAATGAGCATTACCCTGGTCGCTGGATCGGTCGAGGTGGGCCACACATTTGGCCAGCTAGGTCTCCAGACCTCAATCCGTTAGATTACAACATGTGGGGTTGGATGAAGGATTTGGTATATCAAGAGAAAGTGGAAACACGCGAAGCTCTAATCCAAAGAATTGTTAATGCTGCAACGCAAATAAAAGAAAAGCACGCGAATATTAGAAATGCAACGAGAGCAATTCACAGGCGTGCTGTCAGATGTATTGAAGTAGGAGGTGGAATTTTCGAAAACCTTTTAAATTAAGAATGTATGTATCACTATTACCGATGTTCTAAAAATAAAAATTAATTCCCATTATTTTATTTTCAAATTCGTGTAGCTCAATAAATAAAGCAAATCGGACACATGTTTATATGAACTTTTTTCCTAGAAATAACCCATGGAACATCCTCTATTAGTGTCGGGAGAACTTCATGAAACACCCGGTATACTTTCGGTAATCTAAATAAAAAATAAAAAAAATATGGCCGAGGTTAATAGATAGATAGATAGATAGATAGATAGATAGATAGATAGATAGATAGATAGATAGATAGATAGATAGATAGATAGATAGATAGATAGATAGATAGATAGATAGATAGATAGATAGATAGATAGATAGATAGATAGATAGATATTTGACCACTGTTATACATTCGTACAAATGTGGTATGTCAATTTTCAGTTTAGATTTGAACTATAAAACAGTTATTATTATTAAAAAAAAAAGGTACAACCATTTCTGCAGTCATAACACATAAGTTAAACAACATATAAATCCTATACAGAATTTATTAAAAAACGATATATTTAGTTTTTTATCATTTTATTAGCAAAAATAAAAAATACGGGTCCCCTAAATTTGTCTTAAGAATCTATGACCAAGTTCTGTTGCATTAATTTCGGGACGCCCTGTACATAATTACAGAAAGAATGATCAGAAGTTTGATGTTTAATAACACATTAGCGATTTCCTGGTAAACGGTTACATTTATCGGCTTGAACAAAGAGTACATATTTTTTTCTGATATTGTTTCTCTTTTCAATAAAGTTTAAATTTCTGTGATGTCTAGCAAGAGAAAAAAGTTAAGAACCAAACAAATTTTGAGTTCTAGGTAAATTGCCCTCTAGCGGCGCATAATGAAACTTTTCTCCGAATTAAATAAGTCATTTATATAAAAAAATTAAAAAAAATGAACTTCAAGCTGTAACTTGCAAATAATTGACAATTCGAAAAAAATTTTCATTACATACTGCTATTATTTTAATCCATAGAATCACCTCCCGGAGTTTCCTGACGGAGTTTCAAAACAACATGTATTTCCCTGCAGCTGCACGCGGTAAACTTTATTAACGATTTTTGTTACTTCGGCTTGTGGAAATCGGCAGAATATATTTTTCCCGTTATCCTTGAATTATTTCCTTCAAAATAAAAAAAAATCGACCGCGCTTGAGAATGTCGTGGTGACGTTTTTTTTTTACAACTTTGTGACCTTCGGACTGCCTTACGTCACGCTCAAATCATCAGATTATTGAAATGCACACTTTTCAGCATGTAATTAACCCATCATATCTTAATCTGACCCATATGTTAATCTGCTGCGCTTGAGTAACTTCCAAAATCCCCTCTTGGGCTCCCCTACTATTAGTAAAATTCTGTGATTTTGTCAACAAATTTTTTGTTTTCATGTCTACACCGTCAAAAAGGATTTAAAATCATATTTTGCATTTTGTTCGAATACGATAATAATAGAGAAAAACGATAAGAATGCCTTTCTTAATTTATCCTGCTTTTTCAGGAATTGAATTTCCGCGCCTGAATTTCCTCATTTATAATCGCCATATTCAAATGTTTGTTTTCGTATGAACTTTCTTTCTTGCTTTTTGGAGTACACTTTGCTTTTAATATTTTACACATTTTTTAAATATCTTTTATACATATGTACATGGTATGTTGTCAAATTTCAGCTTCCAGAAGTTTTCGGGGGTGTCAGGTCGATATATCCTCAACGACCCGGGAGGAACGATGGAAACATCTACGTAGGTACCACGAAAAACAACATCTTGGAGGGTTCCCTGCAAAGGAGGTTCAACCAGGTTAGTATTGCGACAACGTAGACAGCGTACCAAACGTTTTTTATTTAACAGACGACCGAGACGCACACGTTTCAAGAGGTTTTAAGAGGTGGGTTGGAGAGGGAAAATAGCAAATTCGTATCTCGTACGAAAAGTAACGCACAACCGAATTTCAGACAGGTTAGCATCACAGCTCAGTGTGTTGGCTCTGGATCCCGCTGCTATTCTGTCAAGCATGATATAAACCCTAAAGAATCTTCTGTTAACAGTGCAACAGCAAAATTAACTAGAATTATTATTTGCCTCCATGAATTGGTAAAGAAGTGAATTATATTTAAAATTTAAATAGTTTCAAATTCTATCCAACATCAGTAGTTAACATCTGTTAATTTTACAATGCTATTACTTAAATAAACACATTTCTACAGGCTGTCATAGCAACATTTCAAAGATTGAACGTTAAACATAGTTTTTATCAATTACCCAAGAACTGAGCATAAAAATCGATATATCGATTTGAATCGAGTTTATTTCTTATTCGATTCATCGACTCGCAGAAAAAATCGAAACGGAATATCGAATCGAAATATCGAATCGGATCGAGATATTGCATCGAATCAAGTTGTCGAATCGAATCGAAATGTCGAATAAAATCTGTAGTAGGTGAAAATCGTTATATCTATTAGAATTCATTTATCGAAAAATTGAATTGGAGTCTGAACATTTATGTGTAGCTTAAAATTATTCGATTTTTTATTTACGTTATTACAGGCTGATATCTAAGTATATTAAAGGGAGTGAGACACTGTATCGTGTCTTTACTCAAGTGTCTTGAATCTTGAAGTCAAGACACACGATAAGGTTTCTCACACAGCGGCCTACTACCTAGACCTACCTGCATTGACTGTGTTACGAATTTAGGCAAAGTATCTCGTATATTTGGGAGTGTACTAGGTATCATACACAGCAATGATTACAAACAAATTTTTATCCAACTCATTTAATTTATTCCCTATGTATATAACTGTCAAAAATAAATAAACATTTACTAAACAGTGAAACAAAATTAACAATTTTTAATTAAAAATAAAGGAATTAAACAAAAACAACATTATTAGAAGATAAAGAGAAACCCAAGAAAAAATTTAGGCGATATATTTTTCATTCATTGAAATCATCACTTTGGGACTGTAGGACTATAGGAACCCTATTCAGACCATTCAGTACGAAATATATTAATTTAAATGTTGTTTCCAATTGCTAGTAATACCACTATCTAACAAATACCTGAGTTATCTATTTATTTGCCTGTATGTTTGGTAACAAACCCATTGATGTTTTATTGTTTTGTTACAATTAAGGGCGCCATATTCTTGAAATAGTGTTTTCCACAAAGACAAATAATTTAAGTAATTTAATAACTGAATAATTTGAAGCTTATCATATAACTGAAATGTTATGTCATGACATATGTGTATTTTCAAAGATGCCGCAGAAAAGGCGGAAATACACATGCCTCTTGCTTGCACAATAGCATGCAAGTAGCTTGCAGGAGATAGCTCCTGGTATGTGTATCTATTAAAAGGCATGCCTGTAGAAGGCGCGCAAGTAAATTGCACATCATTTGATTTTTTGGCATGCAATGTGAGGCGGGGGGTTTCGGGGGAGTTCAAGTGGCATGTCGGAACGTGTCTACTTGCTACCTACTGATATGCCAATAAGCCATAATACTAACGAGGCATTCCATTTTACTTGCAAATGTATCAGCAGTGTGCCATCCGCCGGCATATGCTATTTCTTAGCATGCAAGTTACTTACCTATTTTACTGGTATGTGTATTTCCGCCTTAAAACGAATAAACATGTGCAAAAAACGATCAAACCATCAAGGTTTTAGGTAGTGAAGTTTACGAAAATACCAACTTTTTTATATATAACTCCACATATATATTCTTATAACATATTCTTATAACATATACTTGCTAAGTCCTACATATAAAATTGTTTACTTTTATTTATAAGTGTGTGAAAACAATTCTTAAAATGTGGGGTTAGGACAACAGCAAACGCATGTTTTACAAACCCTTTTTTTAAGTTATTATTTTATTTAAGTAAATTTAAATAGTACCTAGCAATGAATAAACAGAACATCAAGGAATTTACTTTTGTGCTTACCTTTGTTCTACACGTTTTATTTTTCAAGATTTCAGAACCTAAAAACGCCAGAAATTTGACTATTTCTCGGCCAGGGATATGGCCACCTTAAATATTTTTTCAATCCCTTCCATTTAATTCGATTCAAAAATACAAATCGATTCGAATCAATATACAATTTTTTCCATACCTAACTGTCGATTCAAGTAAATAATATCACTCGAGAATTAGATATTCCGATTCAATTTAGTTCTATTCGAATTGATCAGCTATTCGATATTTCGATTTGATTTTTTCCATGGATCCATTCAAAAATACAAATCAATTCCAATCGATATATCGATTTATTGCACAGGATTAATCGATTGGAACGATTCGATTCGATTAAAATAAAATTATATAATTCGATTAATCGATACGAATCGATTTTTTTGACGAATCGATTCTTTATTTCACGAATCGCACGGGTCCACCAAGAAATCGATAGACTTTATCGTACATCTGCGAACAAAAACAATAGCATTGGAGTTAGAAGTAGTCTGAGAGGTTCCACGTGCCAAAAAAGTTTTATACCGAATCTTTGTGGGATCGTAGATCATTTAGAAAATTTTTTAAGTATAAATTAAGCTCTTATTTTTTTTATTTTGATTAAACAAATCCGTTCAGAAAGTTGTGGCACCATTTCCACAGAATAAACACATTATTTACATCTTCTTAATAAACAAGTACAGCATAATGGAATTGGCGTTTGAATAAAAATTAATTACAAAATTTAAATTTTCTAATAACATTTTTTTATTTGGAATTCAAAAAAATATATTTCTATGGAATGTTTTTCTTTTGGTGTAGCTCGAATTAATAATACTACATTTATGAGATTTTTGTACTTTTGATAATATGGTATTTAAAGCCATGTTTTTTAAATTCTTTTATAAGCATCTATTTTGTGGAACGAACAAATTTAAAATTATTTTCAGTGGATTCAGTCATGTGAAAAGCTTACTGTAATTAAACAAAAAAATTGAAACTTACCTGATTTAAAGGAAAAGTGAAAAATATCTGTTATTTTTTAGAAATACTACCTGTCGTAACTTTCGTTAATGGTTGATAGGTATATTTGTACACCAATCCAGAGAATTTTTACATTTTATTAGTTAAATCATTATTTCAGCTATCAATGTCAAATACCTTGAGAAATAAATATTGATCTTAGTAAATCTTATTAAATTTTCATTATTAATAAATATAGAACAAATTGCTTATTACTTATTTTAACAAATTAAGAATATCTATCTCTCTTTTATTACATATTACATTACTTATTATATTTGTATTGCAAAATTCTGTTGATAAGCTTGTTTACTAGCATTTTGTATGCACAGATGAAACGTTTTGAACAAGCATTTGTACTTGAAGCAGAAGTTTCTGATGGGTTACTTGTTGCTCATATAAATGAGAAAATACTGAGATTTGCCTAAGCAAAATAGTTACCCAAGGAAGGTGAAATTTGTTGTTCAGTGTTGCGTTATAATTTCGAAGGAGGCGAAAATAAACAGAGTGAATATGTAATTAGCATGCATTTTAGAACAAATCTTTTCTCTCTCAAACTACCAAATGAGATTGTATCACCATCATTGTTTAAGGATAACGACTATTCACTCTGGCTCCTTAATCCATGTTGTTGCTTTGTTTTGAAATAGATACATGCACCACTTCATTCACATTTAACAGTTTATGATACTATTTATAGTTGTTTGTCATCCAATGTCATTATAAATTTAAAATACATATTCAAATTAGAGAAGGCGAAACTATAAGAAAAAAAACACATTTAAAATCACAATCCAATATCGATTTTATTTTATACTTTGAGTCTTTGTCAAAAAAGACTTTTGCTATATTATACAACGAGAATGGACCGTTAATTTCAAGCCTGATTGCCACAACATGTCGTCGGTTTAAACTCTGGACTTTTATGACTAAATCGCTCTCTTCTTCTGTAGAAAGTATGGTACTGGAAGTTAAATTTGACCAGTATTTACATTCGTTGTGTTCATTGCCTGTTACCAGATGATTATTAATTTCTTTCGTCTTAGACATCTTGTTGACTTATTCAGTATTTTTGTTAGTTTCCTTTGAAAGCTGATCGTAGATGATGTAGTTCCTCATTCAAGTTTTCTGGCTCGAATATTGTCCGTGCTGTGCATTAATATGTTGATATTTTATTTCTCAGCTGAATGGTGACGAGAGATTTAAAGGTGACTAATTGCAGAGCCTTTTCTTCGAGAAATTCCATGTAGATAGAAAAAGTCCATCTGATGCATACGTCTACCAAGTCCATTAAATTCTACAATGAGTCTTCGATGAATTTCTTCCAACAGTCTTTAATTGGCTCAAAAACTCAATAGGGTGTCGCCTGGATCTAATTGATTTTCCTCGATAACATCTTCATTGTTACTGACATGGTGTTTTGTTTTCATCACTAGGTCTTTAATTCTGCAAGATTTTCTGAAGATTTTATCAGGATATGTAAATATTGGCTAATGGATTTGATCACTAGTTTTAGATTTTCTTATAAAGAAGAGGGCGATGTGTCTCTCGAAACGTTAAGAAATCGACGACGTGGTAACCACTTTGAAATTGTTCAACCATTGACAACAGCCACTTAAACTTGCAAACCAAGCTATTAAACGTTTAACATTACACTAAAGTAATATTCAAAGCAGTTTTTATTTATTAATACTCATGAGTGCAATAAGTATTTTGCCGAAAAGTTATTAAAAAGGAGTAATACTTGTTCAGGATTAAAATAAGACAGGCCGAAAAAATTTGGCCCACCTCATTTTTGTGGGCTGAGTTCGGATCCAAATTTCTCAATTAGCTCTGGTTTTCGAGATATCCTAACCTAAAAGTGACAAAGTCGCGATTTTTTGACATATTTGAGATTATGTTACATGGATAAGTATTTTTTTTCTAAAACCATTAATGGAGTCTTAAAGTACTATACTTGCTCTTTAAAACACACTTGGATTTATCCGGATATCATTTTTCGCCTTTGAGAAATCGCATGTTGAAATTTAGTAGGTACCTAGTTTGACTTTTTGAATATACACACTGACAACACAGCTCCACAAACCTAAGTAGGGATCTGACATGTTTTTGGGGCCGCTGATCGTGAATCTAGACTCCAAAATACTCTATCACGTCAAATTTTGCAATAAACTTAAAAAAGTGTCTAAAAATTTGATATATGGCCGATATTTTACGTATTTTATCAATCTGAAAATATATTTACACGCAAAAGAGGCTCTCACTATATCCCGAACTCATAAACGTTAAGCCAAGAAACTAAGCCCATAAACCTATAAGCCCATACACCCTTAACCTATAAACTCCAAACCCATAAACTCTAAAAATCGAGTCAAACTACTAAATTTCCACTTGCGATTTCTCAAAGGATGAAAAATGATATCGGGATAAATCCAAGTGCGTTTTAAAGAGTAATTATAGTACTTCAAGACTCCATTAATGATTTCAGCAAAAAAATTACCTTTGCATGTAACCTCAACCTCAAGCATATAAAAAAAAATCGCTATTTAGGCCCTTTTATGTCAGGATATCTCTAAAACCAGAGCTAACTGAGAAATTTGGGCCTTAGATTCGAGTTCAGCGCACCAAAATCCATTGGGGAAGTATATTCGTTTTGTAGGTTTAAAATCTTGTCGACCTGTGTAATCAATTTTGTATTAAATTCATTATCCTGGAATTTTCAGAGCCCAGAAATTACACTCACTCGTCAAATGAAATATACAACGTTTATTCACCTATGTCATTTTTAATTTATTTTTTAATATAACATTTAACTATACTCCTGAGTGTCAGTTCCAGATACTAATTTTATTCAGATGTAAAATGTCGCACTTACATTTCAAATTTATTTTTACATCTTATTTTGTGTTGTGTACTAATATTTACACTGTTTCATTTTAATGTATAGAAATACATCAATAAAAAATATGTACATCCATATCGTCCAACAAAAGCAAAACAAATATGTGTTCATCACCGCCCCTTCATTTTTTAAAGTCACAAAACCATCTTCAACTGAAATTTAGCAGCATGTGCAATGTCTGAGTTATACACCACGATATATGTTTCGCTAGAACAAACATTTATGGAGATCGTATGATACCAAAATTTATTTCAGGTTGTTTTTGGTCATGGCAGGCAACTTTGGGGTCTAGCCGTCCATCCGGACGACGAAGTTTTTGCAACTGCTGGTCACGATAAAAATATAGCTTTGTGGAGGAAGAACAAGTTGATCTGGGTGACTCAGGTAGAACTGAAATTAAGTCTATTCGACCCAAAATTCAATTAATTTAGCTACAGAAGTTCGATATATTCATCAAAAGTTGTAATTTATATTTGTAGGTTTCATTTGAGTGCATAGCCTTGAGTTTTCATCCTTTTGGAGTGGCTTTAGCTGTGGGTAGTACCGAGGGCCATTTGATAATAATGAATTCTGAGACTGGAGTTGTTGTTAACACGATAAGGGTGTGCGGGTCGCCCCTTAACTGTGTTTCATTTAATCCATGTAAGTAAATAATAATTTATTTTTCTAAAACGCTATAACATACAGATACCCGTAAAATGTTCATCGAAGTTGCTAATTAGCAAATAGTTTGTTATCAGGTGTCTCAAAATTTACACAAGTTTTGAATTTCGCATCATTTGTTGCACGAATAAACAACGCGTTCTTCATTGTTGAGAAATATTTAAATAATGAAGGTTTGGCGGCTACAGTTCGCAAATTTCGTACAAAATATGGCCGGAATAGTGATTTAACTTCATTAATAGTGGAGAGATTAATTGAAAAAATCAGGGAGACTGGATCAATTAGTGATCTTAAATACTCTGGCCGTCCTTCAGCAAGTCGTTCAAAACAAAACATCAGTTCGTGAAAGTGTTTCAGAAAGTCCGAAAACATCTATTCGGTACCGTGGTCAAAAATTGGACATTTCAAGAAGCTCTCTACAGCGTATTCTCGTGAAAGATTTACTAAGTTCAATTGACTGAAGAATTGAAGTCTACTGACCGTGCAGAGCGATGAGAGTTCGTTGAATGGATCATGGAACAAGTGGATACAGATTTTTTGAACAAAATCATCAATTATGAGGTTCATTTTCATCTTGATGATTTCGTTAACCGACAAAATCGTCGCATTTGGGGTTCAGAAAATCTACGAGTGATAGTTGAGAAACAAATGCGTGTCAACGTGTGACTGTTTGGTGCGAATTTTGGTCTGGATGCATCATCGGACCATTCTTATTCGAAAATGCGGTTGGTCAGGCAATAACAGTTAATGGTGCTCGCTATGGTAACATTACATTGCAAGATATGGACGTAGATGACATGTGGTTACAACAAGACGGTGACACATATCATATAGCTCGAGAAACAATTTAGTTACTGCATGAGCCATTTCCTGGTCGTGTAATTTCCCGTTTTGCTGATCTGAATTGGCCGACCAGATCATGCGATTTAACGCCTTTGGACTTTTTTCTTTGGGGTTTTTTGAAATCTAAGGTTTAGGCTAATAAGTCCACGACACCCACGTCTTGAAACAGGAAGCGCTGTATCAACAAAATTCAGCCGCATTTATGGCTGTTTACCCGATATGTGATTTCATACATAACCCTATATTGTATACTTTATGAATCAATAAAAAATTTACAATTTTTTATTAAAAATTTGTGTTTTCTACAAAATTACTTGCGTCAATTTTGAGTAATGTACACTTTTTAGTAATGAGGATGGTAAATGTTCGAAACTCAAGTCGTATTAGCTTCAAGTAGGACAAGTTCAGAAACGAAAGAAAACATTTCGTCTCAAATTGGAAATGCTATTTTTTCTATTAATGTATAGTTTTTGTTGTCAAATTAAACAAGAAATTAATCACGGAAGCATATGCATTTTGTTCAAAATTGCCGCTGTCATTTAGAAGATAGCATTTTTCAAGTAAAACGTTTACACTTTATTTTAGCTTTTGAAATTAAAGTAAACGTTTGTTGCTTAAACACACATTCTCGATAGTTTTACTCATTGGGAAAAATTGTTCCGAGTTTTTCTAAAACTAAGGTGTGTGTCTAACAACTGACGGGCAAACATGTCGATTTTCGCGAATCATCTTCAAATTGGCTTTTTTATAGCTGGCGAGTTGATAGCAATCGCATCCCAAAACGGGAGCATATACCTCTTCAGGGTAAGTCGAGATGGTTTCTCATACAAGAAGTCGAACAAAATCAGAGGGTCCCAACCGCTTATGCAGATGGATTGGAGTTCTGACAGCAACTTCCTCCAAACAGTCACTGCCGAATATGACCTCGCATTTTGTAAGAATATTTTTTTTTCATGTTATATTTTTCAATTGTACGAATTTCCAATTTTAGGGGATGTGAAATCTCTGTCGCCGGAAAAGAGCCCCATTGCGATGAAAGACGTGAAGTGGTACACACACAATTCTACTGTTGGTTTTATGGTGGCAGGTAGGTGTATTTTTCAAATAATTATTATCAAAAAATTGTCGAAACTGGTAGATTATATGAATTCAATATTTGCAAGTGATTCTATAAAATGAACTAATCCAAATAATTTATATTATCTACTCAATTCGAAACTGTATTGAGACCTGCCGAAATAATTTTTCAGGCATGTGGAACAACCGATTCTATCCGATGACGTCAGTAATAAGCACAGCAAGCAGGTCAGCGGCTCACGATCTATTAGTTTCCGGTGATACCGACGGGTATATCAGATTGTTCAGGTAAGAAGAATGCGAAAACATTAAATCAAGCGTGTTTACAGGTTTTATAGATTCCTAAAGTAAATAAAGAGTAACTTTTCAATTTTCACTGGCATTTTTCCATGTAGTAGCACAATACGCATTTAGTATTTTTCCTAGATGCATTAAAAGCAATACAAATCTCAAGTGCATTTATAACTGTAACGCTAATTTATTCTTGTCTACTGAAAAATTCTTATTTGTTGTATTTTAAGGAACTAGGGTAATAACCATTCAAGCCCATTATTAAATTCTAGGAAAATCTAGACATTTACGTTTCGGAAATTTTTTTTTAGAGATTTTTAGTTTAAAATATGTAGAAATAGTGTGATTTCTAAGACATAATTAGAATTTTTTTAAACCTTTAATTAAAAAAACGTGGATTGTACTTTACACGTTATAATTTTGCATATATAACAATACAGCATGTTTTCGATAGTGGAATTTTAAAGGATTATAGCCGATTCCAAAATAACGCCATAAAAAAAGTTGGCTGGGTCGTAGACCAAACTGGTGTATTCTGTATAATACTTTGACCCGCTGAACCCAAATAGTCCAATCGCCCTAGTCAAAAATGTATTTAAAGATGGCATTAATTCCGAAGTATACAATTTTTTGGATGTGGTTACTTTTTTATATAACAGATATAATTTATACACTTTCCTTGTTACCACTCGAGTAAAGCCTTTGATATTTTCAGAAAAAAATATTTATTAAAATGTTTACAGATAAGAATAAACTTATCATCTTATTATCAAACTTATCCTTTGAATGAATGTATGTATCATCATCATTGGATTGTTCAAGGAGTGGCCAACAAACGTCCATACAATTTTGCTTCTGTTGATCGGACATGAAATGAGGACACACTTTGCTGCCACTCGATGCATGTTCAATATTTCAGTCAAAATTTCATGGGATGATCCAATTGAGATGCTAGCCTCTTTTGCAAATTCTCTGATAGTTAATCGGCGATTTGCACGCACCAGACCTTCGACTTTCTGAACGTGGGTGTCATCAGTTGAAGCCGAAGGCCTTCCTGGTCGAGGATCATCTTCAATTCACTGACGACCACTTTTCAATTGTGAAAACCATTCGTAACATTGCGGACGCCCTAGAGTATTATCTCCGTAAGCTTGTTTCAAATGTTAAAACGTTTCTCTAAAAGTTTTCCCTAGTTTCACACAAACGTTTACGTTGCATCGTTGTTCTAGAAAATGGCACATTTCAAAAATTCTCACTGATACTTGAACACATTGCACTCAAATAACAATATCACGGAATCTAAATAAGATATCAACAATTCAAAAACATTTGGTAACAGAGGAGGTTATGCATAACGAAAAGCTGCCAACCGCATATCACTAAATATCTCCATTAATTAAAAAGTTCGGTTATTTTCTGAACAGATGTCGTAGGTAATTAAGATATAACTCATTCTGTATGTTTTACCCATACACCATAAAAAACCACCCGGTATACCAGTTCATTTTTATTTATTCCTTTAGACCATGTTTCATCAATCTACGGAAAATATCTTCACATATTTCAGTGATTTTAGAACCTATGCTACTTTCTGGAGTTTGTTTTCAGAAAATATATTTTTATTATGACATACAGGTACCCCTGTCTAAGTCCCAAGGCAGAGTACAACGAGGAGAAGGTCTACAGCGGAACCGTGGCTTGCTCTAGGTTCCTCTTCAACGACCGAAACGTCGTCACCGTGGGTGGAACCGACGCATCCCTCATGCTGTGGGTTCTAACAGAAGAATAGCACAAACCCTACATGTACCTGCCGTCCATAAGTAGGAAAAAATTCGAAAACAACGACGGATCCGATTTCGAGTCCGACTTAGATAGCACGACCTTTGAGGTCTTAAATTTACATTACTAAATCACCTGAGGGTTGTTTGAGAGATGGTCGAGATGGTTTTTCCTTGGAACAGGTGTTGCTGCCTTACTTCCAGACCAAGACAAGATAGAATTATTTTTAGACAGGGAGTCGCGAGAGCAAACAGGCGAATTATTTTATACTAGCATGTGGTTGGCACGTATTAAAATGTACATAAATTTTTTGTTTATTGTCACACATCATACAGTTACCCGATGGCGAATATCACGAAAAATTTAAGTGAAGGTGAGAAGGTTTTATGTTTATGCTATTGGTATTACTGTTGAAATTTACCAATGAAAAAAGCGTATCTATACTCCGCGGTCGAAATTATAGAGAGTGATTCAGACATAATATAAAAACACTATTACCATAATGCGTATAAAATATAAAATGATTTGTATACGGTTCAATATTATTTATCTTTGTGCCGCTCGCTACGCACATCCATAGAATCTATAATCGTCTATAGACTGAGTTACACTGAACGTTGATCTATTTTCTATCTCTGTCTTTTGCACTTGGTAGGGAATAGGGAAATGCTTTTTTAGTAGGTGTAAACGGACTTGATTTACCAGTCCTGAGAAACGTCATAGTATAAGCGTAGACGAAGGGGTCTAATTCCATGGCTATAATAAATTTATAAATTAAAAAAACACAACTGGGACGTTTTAAAATGCTGTAATAATTAAAATGGATCAAAATGCCGATTATAGCAAACCGTAGAAAATATTAGATGTTATGTTTTATTATCTTTTTTCAATATTTTCTATATCTTGTTGCCTTTTACGCAGACACGCCAATGGATTTTCGTTCCCGGCACGCTTCATCCCCCTTACTAGTCCAAAAGCTAGCGATGAGTCACTCTCTATAATTTTGACCGCAGAGTATAGGTATATTAAATTTTGTTGTTATGAGGTAACTGTGTTCAGCGAATGGTCGGATTAGCTTGGAAAGACTTCTCAAGTCAAGTAATTCTATGAATTGCTTTTAAAAATCCGTGTTGTGTTTCCGCTCATCAATTTAAGCATTTACTCCATTCTTGTTGTTTCCAAATCGTAACAGTTCTGTTTTTTACGCCTTTTTTTGTTATTTCTTCTTTATCAATATTATAAGTTATTGCTACGTCGCTGCGTTTCTATTACTTTATGCTTTGATTCTCAGAATTGACAAAATTCTCAGAATTCTCAGAATTGACAATAAACTGTTTTCGCAAAGAAATCGCACTTTTAATAAGACAATGGTAGAACAAGAAAATCTATCTATCACCCACGCAAACAACGGAAAGTACCTTAATTAATTCAATACCTTTAAAGTAAGATAATAGTTGTTTACTTGCTCAGTTATGGTACTTAATTAAATCGACGCAGTAACAAAAATTTTCGCAAATAAATAACTACAAACAATATCACAATACACATTTTAAAACTTGCCTAATATTCCCAGTCAACTGTTTGGGTTGAGCATAAAAATTTTGCTCGCCGCAAGACCGATCCAACCATTCACTGAACTCGGTCTATAAAAATAATAATGACTGTTGGATTTAGGATTTTACGGACCCCATATTGGCTCCAATTGTAACTACTTTTTTAAAATTATTTTTTTTTTTGTTTAAAGTATTTTCTATTTATACATGATTATTTTTTTCTTTTACGTACAAGAATGTACACAGGGTGTTTAATTCAAAATGGGATACAGCTCATCAAAGCTTAAAAAATTTCTAATTCTGTCAAAATTTCCAAAATCATTGCACTAATCAAGCTGAAAATTTCAATAGATATGAATTTAATATGATAATTTAAAAAATAATATTTATTTTGGTTCCATTGACAAATGCGTCAGTTACAATCTTAGTAAAGGCATAAATAAGATTTAAAGTTTGTTTCCCATAGATACTTTGTAGAAAAATAGTGAAAACCCCACAGTTTTAGAAATACGTATTTTTTAAATTAATTTATTTTCTATTTCATTTAGTATTGCTAATGACATTTTGCTCGATCACAAACTTTTTCTTGTGTACCTATATTTAATATACAATATAAAATAAAAATATATAAATGTGTTAAGCATTAGAATTAAAAATTAAATTAAATTGTTCTAAAGGTTAAAAGGATCAATTAGAAAAAATGGAAATCATTTTTATCTCGAAAGTTTTCTTTTAACGTGAACTACCTACCATTTCATTTAGAATTAAGTAAATTTTCATTATTTTTTGTGTAATATAGATATGTATGAAGGATAACAAAGTTTAGAGCACATTTACTGTATCTACTGAAGTAGGTATCTAAATTGATAAAGTATCGCAATCGCTAAACTTCCAAAAATCCTTATACTCGTATTTCAAGATTGGCGATAAGGAAAAATATAAGGTGCAAAGTCTTATTTTTATAGGATGTACCTGCAAAATATAATGTTGATATCTAATATGATTGAAAGAAAGACACCTAAATATTGTTAAAACTTTTTATATTTCATTGTGGTGTGTACTTTTTCGCATCTGTCAATATATGTAATAATTCTGAACAGTTAGCATAAAATGATATATGTGAAATTGCAATTTGGATTCAAAATGAGAACAATCGATTGTGGTACAATGACATTAAGGTTAAAGTAGCTAAATTTTTTTTCTGTAATTTTTAATCTGTGGCCGACTTTTCCCCAGCAGTGCTCAAGCAGAAAAGTAATACAAAAACTATCTCTCTATGACCACAAATAATAAATATAGTAGGTACTGTTAATTTAGTAATCTTCTGTTTTACAGAACAATCAAACACTATTCTCTAATCAGCATTGTTTGTATTTTGTACTTTATTGCATATTGTGACAATAATTTGACATGTAACAGTCTAATTTTGATATTTGAATGAACAAAAACGCAAACATATTGAAACGAGACAGACCAATAGAATCTGAAAAGTTAAATTTGATTAAACTTCTGGCAGAAGTTAATAGGGAAAAATTATTTTTGAACTGTCCAACCAGGTTTTCTAAAACAAAGTTGTGCCGAGTAGCTATCACATACTTTAACCTTAACAGATTCTTCTGACGAAGAGAGCGATATGTCTCTTGGACAATTGACAATTGACAAGAAAGCCTGAGAACCTTTGCTGAACATACAAACTAAAAAATATTGACAATTCTTTTTTCTTTAAACTTTGACGCTATGTAGATTGAGCAAGAGCAACACTTGATTAAGGTGTGTCCCATTCTTAATAAAATATCTTGGTTATAATTAAGTACAATCATTTAATACTTAAATACGAAAAATATGGATGTGGCCCATGATATTTTTGCCTATCAAAATCACGCCAAAGAAATCATATCACTTTTATGTCTTTTATTATAAGTAACGATTAGCAGTGGCGTATATTATACAACTCAGAAAGTGAAAGTGCCTTATTTGGCGAATTGAAATATTAGTTTTTAAGTAAAATTAAATAGATACATTAAATTTTTAGTCCCCTGCAAAGTTGATTACCACATACTTTATAACTGCTGAGGCGCATCCTTTTGATGAGTCTACCACATTTTTCCTCTGCGTTTTTCTCGATTCCTCCGTTTTTCCACTCGGAAAAGTCCAAAAACATGGCAATTTCCCGGGGTCTTGAAAAGTCAAGACCACATCTTTTATTTTTGACTTAAGTAACTGCAAATCCGCAAATCGTCAGTTCGACAAAAAATGATGAAAAAAAATCGTAAAAAATGTGCACATGTATTTATAATTTCTAATAAGGTGTTTTCATGTATTAAGCAAAATTCCATATAAATATACAATACAGGGCGTTTCAGAAAGACCTCCCGTAAATACAGGGGGTGAGGACGACAAAAAATAAGAATTTTTTGTCATATGAACTATATGTCTATCTCCTCAAGCTTACTTTGAAAAAAGTCACTTATTTTATAGTGTAATATTGTAAAAGTTTAATTAAAAGCCTTTTTTCTCGAAAATCGTCCACATTAGGAAGTTCTAACAAGAGTACATTATTTTTAGAAAATAAAATTTTACAATAGAAATTGGAGCCCGAATGGTAAAAAACCTAACCTAAAAAAATAGAACTTAAAATGTAATAAGAATGTAGCATAACTAGCGCCCTCTATGAAATATACAAAAAATAATTAGACTAACGTATTTGGTACCCTTAAAACCCCCGGACTACCAAATTTCATAAAAATATTTCGCAGCGTTTGGAAATTTTCATAAAAATGTTATTTAAAAAGTTTTATTTTGTCTCTCTGTATCTCGAAAACAAGAGGAGATAGACATATAGTTCATAAGACAAAAAATTCTCATTTTTTGTCGTACTATCACCCCCTTTATTTACGGGAGGTCTTTCTGAAACACCCTGCATATATTTTTCGTTTTATTCTTGTAATAATTGTAAATCTCTATATGCTCAATTTAGCCAAATAAATACCGAGAAAAGAATTAAACGATTTCAAAAAAGTATGCATGGTGTAAAAAAATTATGCACAAAAGTTTTGGGATTTTCTTTTAGAAAAATAGGATAATTTTTGTAAAGAAAAATAACAAACGCGAATGAAAACTTGAAAGAGAAAAAAGGATTTTTATATCAAGTATAATATTAATTTATTTAGAAATAATGCATTATGCACTAAGATAGTATTAATCGCCTCAAAAATAACTTTGTTTATAACTTTTTAATTTTTAAGCATAAAATAAGCAATATTATAATTATTTATTTGAAACAAATAATAATTTACATAATAACTAATAACCATTTATAAATATGACATTTTTGGAGTGAAAAAATTAAATTTCATCACGATTATTGATTTATTGATTTTTTAATAATTTGCGGACATTAAATCGTCGCACACTTATATCACTATTTTGTACAGTAAATTTAAAAATGGAAAAAATGAAAATTAGATATGTGATAATCGATTTTTCATACCCCGTGAAAATTCCGATTTCCAGCTGTCGGACTGAAAAAACGCGGTATGAAATTTGTCGGACAACAATACTTTTTGACTGAATTAATTATTTACAATTAATTTTACTAAAAATTACCTATGTGGTAATTGATTTTCAATACCCTGTTATTTTGGCATGTTTCGACCGGTAGACACGTCAATGTCGGAAGAATTTCTGTCGGACAAATTTAAATCGGCATTTGCAACAAAATTTCCAGTTACTTAAGCTAAAAATAAAAGATGTGGTCTTGACTTTTCAAGACCCTGGAAAATTGCCATGTTTTTGGACTTTTCCGAGTGGAAAAGCGGAGGAATCGAGAAAGGTCGCAGAGGAAAAATGTGGTAGACTCGTCAAAAGGAAGCTCCTCAGGAGTTATAAAGTATGTGGTAATCAACTTTCCAGGGGGGCCTGTACTGTGGACTATTTACTTTGTAGGGAAAAATTTAGTGGGAGAAGTATCCCCTTTGTATACGCTCCTGTTGACTAATGATCATATTGTAAACTTCTAGATAATAAAAATGAATAAAAAGTATGATCTTTCACTTATTTTTGAAGGTAAAAGTCATAGTTACACTAACTTGCTATTTATACGTAGTATACAACAAAAAGTGTATACAAATTAGGAAATATTTCTTTAAATTATTTGCACAATGAATTTTAACGTGAAGTGAATAATATTACAAAAAAGAAATGAATTGTTTGGAAAATACTCACATATATGTGAGTATTCTACTATAGTAGAAAGCAAAATAAATTTTTATGTAAATATATAAAATTGGAGATTTATTTGGATTTTCGTTTTAAATTTTTTTTGTACAAACACGTTTCTCTTATTTTATAGCAACAGATAATTTATATTCATTCAAATTTCTAATTATCGAATACAACGCACAAGTATTAACATTAATTTTAATCTTAACGTAGTACATAGGTACTAATTAAATCTAAAGAATATAATCTCTCCACTACTTATTAAAAAATAAAGCAAACAACTAATACGTAAAATTAATATTTATCTAGTTAAATAAAACATATACGAAAGATGAAACAAACGTTAGATAAAATTTTATTTCACTATAGAATCTATCTGTAAAGACGTAACATACTTTTTATATTGACCATTTGTAGTATAACAAAATAATACGTGATAAAATACCTCAGTTAGAAAAAGAAATTGTTAATTAGGATCTAATATGTAGGAGCTTTAATCAAATCAACGAATAATAATACTGAAATTATCACCACGAGATTATTTAAATATTTAGCATTTATAATACAATAACATAAGGTCACAAGAACTGCCAATAGATAATAGATTCTATTGTAATTAACATAATGATATATTAAAATCGAAAACATCAATAAAATGCTTAGTGCATGATAAGCTTTCCATTCATACTTTTTAAACAAAAAATGTTTTTATTTTTAAATAGAGAGTATTGGTAATGATATTGGTAATAAGGAGGTTATTTTGTTGATAATTCTTGAAGTGACGTATATTAGTGTAATTGGAAATTGATATTTATTATTGTATTTGTTTAAAATAATAAAAATATATTTAAAATATTTCGAGTCTTTCAATGCCCCTTTTCTATTTTTTTATAATGGTTCAGGAATAAATAGAAAATAGAAAAAGACTGTATTTTTCTATGAATTTATGAACGCCTTTCTTTCAAGAAATATTCCATTAAACAAACTAGAGAACCCCAAGTTTATTAATTCCGTAAATTGGAATTACATGGACTATCCATAAATGAACAATTTGATATAATGGATGATGTACAAAAAAATATATACGATGCCAATAATATACGCCCAGTAGTACGATAAAAGAAAAAATGCAAAGTGTTGGAAAAATAATCAGTATACACCATTGGAAAACATATGTAAAGTTTTATTTGGTACATATCAGGAGTTACCAGCAAATATATTAATATATAGTTCATGCCTCAACAATCTCTCATACTGTTTGTTGTCAACAGTAGACGTTGAACGGTCATTTTCCCCACACAAGTTAACATTAAGTTATAAAAGTCGCCGTTTCACTGAAGAAAACTTTGAAAAGCACGTAGTAATGTGTTTTAACTCCTTCCAATATCCCACGGAATCCTTGTCACAACACTAAGTTTTATAGGGTAAGTGATGTCATTTAAATTTATATAGGTATTTTCTCCTCTACTTAGCCTTGTCTTTGGTAATATGTTGTGACATATTTTCCGAAAAAATATTAATATTTTCATTCGTAATCTGACTACGGTCCTGTTAAACTCCGCGCCGCACTAAGCCTAATGATGCCTGATGACTTTTAGAAGCAATAACATTTTTAGTTGTCTTCCCACAGCACACAGTAACATTCTTGTAACATCAGCGTTGTATCCGATTATTTCCAAGTTGTGAGATACCGACATTTTTTGTTGTTCGGGTAATGATATACCTACTTATTATATATCGTTTTATATAACTTTTTGTCTTTGTATTTGTGTTATTTATAAGTTTGTATTTTTTCTCTTTTTCATATTTAATTCCTTTCTTTTATCTTTTTTTAATTGCGTATATTTTAATATTTTATTAACAGGACTTAACATGTCCTGTTATTGGGTATTGCCTATTGGATATGTATTTTAAATAAATGAATAAATTTTCGGTTTATTTTGTTCTATGAAAGCTGTCCTTGAAATAGGTATAAATAACCCTTTCGCTTGTATACTGAATGCAAATTTAAAAAGTCTGAAAATCATGTCATCTCTACACAAATTTCTGTCCATTAAAACCAACCACTGCATATCTAAATTAAAAAATGGAATTTGACGGAAAGGTTGATATAAAACCAAGACTTTATTTTCTCTTTGACACAATGGAAGACTGATATCGATTTTATTTTATTTCCTGAAGGACTTGCCTAAATTTATCCAAAAATATATCGGCATGATGTTCTTGAAACACTAATGCTGGTCTCAGGCGGAAGGCTGCTGTGCCGCAAGCTCCAGTTTGAACACCTAAAAATAATTAAGTAGTAACATAACAAAATGATTATACAGAGTGTTTCAATGAGAATATAAAACAACTTAAAGGGATATTCCTGAGGTCAAAATAAGGATATAAAGCCAAACATGGTTGCCCTTTTTTTATCTACAGGGTGTCAATGTAAAAAAAAATCGAATGTTGTTAGTATTTCTAGAAACTGTAACAAAAGCCGGAACGCGTAGTAATTTATTTGTTAGTTCTAGGAACGGATGGGCCAAAAAGTAAAATATTTCAGTCAACACAAATTATCGGAAAGTTAATGGCCCTCAAGTAGGTATGGCGTCGTCCTTCGGAGAAATTTGGCAATATTTCTTTGAACAAGTTCACTTAGAGTCGGGGCCATGTGACAGTCATCTGTTGCGTCCGGGAGGCGCCAGCGTAGTTTGGGCCAGAACAAAGAAACCCATATTTGTAATAAAGCGCGAAATGCATTCCAAAGAACGCAGGAATTCCAAGAATAAGTTGTTAGAATGTTGTGAGGAAAAGAAAGTAAAACAGCTGGTTTTTAGACGGATTTTCCAAGCTATTAATAATTAATATATTAAATGAGATGGCTAATCCGTCCCGTGTTGCTATGTGGAGTCACAAGAGAAAGGTATAGGGTTGTTTGTAAGCCTAGTCACAGAATCATGTATATAAATGTAAATCCAGTCAATTAGGTAATTATTAACATGGCATAGTTATGCCAAAGCGTCCCGACATTCAGGGTTTCCGCCAATAAGATAAGAACAGAAACCCCTGGACCCAAGAAATGGGCGTGTCGAAGCGAGGTGTCGAATTCAGGAAAGATCTCGAAAAGGCAGTTCTTCCTTATGTTCCACATTGAGCAGTCGACTTAGTTTGAGTCTCGGGCTAATTAATTAAGGTTATAAGGTTTTTTCCAAATTTTGTACGAAGCGCGCAGCCCCTGAATCTCGGTACGCTGTCGCGTGTCAATAAATTAATTAATAATGTTGTTCGAGCCGTTGTGTCGTTATTTTGTTTGCTTGTTTTGTTTATTGTTATTAAAACCCTTCCTGGAAGTTTTGGTGTTTCCTTTTGCTCCTCTCAACTTCAGTGTCACCTTGTATAGGCAGCCACTGGATTACATTCCACGTAAGCGATAGAGGGTAAGTGCCTGAAATTCATTCTCTGAACATACAACATTTCTAAGTTCCCACGTATTAATTAAAGTATAATGATAATTATAACTCCCTTTCGAGAATTAAATAGTAAACTCTTGTGAAATCCAGACTCGTTATGATACTGGTCATAACCCCTAAGAAAAGAAATAACCCCTCAGGTTACAAAACATTGAAAGGAAATTTCAAGATATGTTTTTTGTAGGATGAAAGCTGCAAATCAGTAGGTATTAGTTTTGTCACACACATCAGAATGCTAAGGTAAATAAGGACTAAATTACGTACTACACGAATTTTTGATGTAGGTTAAGAAAAAAAAATAAAAGACGGGAGTTTTGGAGTGTTCTGCGTAAGGTGTTCTGTAAAAATGAGGGAGTTTTGCACTTAAATCGGGAGGTTTAGCACCTAACCTTCATCATAAATTTCCTTTTTTAGTTAAATCAGATTTTTATTATAAAAATCTTTAATAGGTATATTAAGTTTTTTCTTTTTGCAAATTACTGACTTACACCGGTTAAACTGATACCATATCCTATATTAAATTAACTTTCTCTTTCCGAAAATTATTATAAATAATTTTTAATGCTTGCTTAATGCTACTAAAAAACTTGCTTTTATTCTTTTTAAGATATTATTTTTTTATATCCGCAACTTTTTTAATATTAATAATATTCGCTTAATAAGTTTCTTAAGCATGGACAAGTGACGGTGGCATACGAGTATATGATGTCAAAAATATATTGTTACAATGTTTAGTTCGAATGCTTACCTTTTTGTTTCAGTCTTTTTAAAATATCGTCTCTCAATTTGGCCGATGTAGCAGTAGCTGCTAGAAACGTACCGCGACCTCTTACTGAATTTATAAGGTCCGAAAATTCACATTCAAGGTCATGGAGACCGCATTTCAACCTTTCTCCGGACTTTTGAACTTGGCTTAGTAAATCCTGACTCTTTATTATTTCAATGATGTTCTCCAAGAGAATCAGCTTTCCCGGATCGCCCATCCAAGTATTGAATATCCTGTAGGGTAGTTTGGGTCTGAAAACGCAATTTTTCGGTGAAAAAATATTTATTATGCAAGGTTTAAGTAATTGGACAAAATTTTGATTTTGATTTGATTTTAAATTTAATGCTTGTTGCTTTTACTAGAATACATTTATGGATAAACCTGTCAAATTATTTCTTGTTAAATATTGTATACAATAACATTAGCGAAAAACAATAAAATTCTATGCTGTTTTGTTTTAATTAAAATACTACAAATATTATTTAATAAGAAAAGGTGATAAAAATAAAGTGCCTGAATCAATTAAGTTAACAAAAATGAAAAATTTAATAGGTTTTAAAAAGAAAATATGTTGAAAATTGATTTTATTAGAAGCCCGTGGCTCAAATAGAGCCACAGTTTTTCTGTTTTAAGTTTAATTTTATGACTGCAAACTCCAAGACAATATTTAAAAAAAGTTACAAATAGATATGAAATCAATGGGCATACTTAATTTTCACACTGATTTTCTTTTTCTTTATGCAGTCTACTACACCTCTTGTGGTCATACCTATTAAGCAAAGATTACATACAGATTACTCCGCGAGGAAATAGACGAATTTTAAACACACATAAACCAAAAGAATATGTAAACATAGTTTAATATTGTTATACCACGAATACATTTTTAAAAATAACAGAAATAAGGTTAGCCTTGGTTGTCGAAGGTTCCGCAATCAGAGTACAATAATAACCAGAAACAGGTACTACATTTCTTAGACAGTGTACTTTTTTTCTTAAAAATAATTATTTAGAATTCCATCTACAACTTCGTTAAACCAAACCTTCAAAGATTTCTGTTACTTTTTATATTTATTGTAGCCGTTTACAAAACCTCAACGAGCGTAAAAGACAACCAAAAATAGTTGCCGAGGCTCGAGGACATCTACCCGACCATCCCTGTGAAAAAACGTTGAGCGGAAATCAAAATTTTCACCTGTTTCAAATCAAAATTATTACTCACGTTTCGAATTTAATAGCAAATACTGTCCACGGAGCAGCAAACTGAGTTGCCATACGTAAATCTAAAATAACTGTTAGATTCCACAATAAAGCAAGTCAACTGACATAAATCGCCCAAAGCCGGCGAAGTCAGATGTCCGAATTTATACCAAAGAGTAATCTTCAACAATCCGCGGAGCGACCAAGAAGCGGGATCGAACGTCTACTCTTGTATCTTGCAGTTCATAACCAGAGCAGAAGTCAGGCCAGTATGTGCACTGTACACGATCAGATTTCAAGCGTATTCGTTCCCTTTGATACTTTGAAGTCATCTAGATAGAAATAAGTTCCAGGGACATACTGAAGGTTCTGAATAGCAGGTCCAAAAAAACCCAAATATTCTGAATTTGTTGATCGAATTCTGACTGTTATCATATAGTTGCATTATATGTATGGTACCCTTTTACTTTTACATTTCTCAGTTGAAAGCCTTTCTACCAAACCAGTGCCATATCGAGGGTGTATGCAATGTTGTTAGGCTGAACAAATCAGAGCGAGGCCAAAACTTTAAGCATAATTACCAACCCATATGGAGAAACTTATAGTAAACAGTTCAGAACGATTAGGGGATTGCTAACAAACGCGTGACCATAAGAATTATCACTAAATATGGTGCAGTAGTTAGGAGAAAAATGAAAACGTTTTGTAAAGTACCTAATACTTAAGCAACAGTGACAAGGCGACGTTATGTTATTATTTGCAATTGCTATAATATTTGCCCGATGAAATCGTGAGTTAAAAGGTATCGAAAAACATCACCATAGTTACTGATAATCTGAAAGCCGATGCTACATGCCATTAGGGGTGGTAGTGGTTTCATTTTGTGGGTGTCATTCCTGATTTAACTTTGTTATGGTTTTATATTGTTTTGAATTAATTTAAGATGTCTAATGTCGATTCGGTTGATGCCGTGATTGGTGCAAATACCAAAAATGGGTTGACATACACTGTAATTCATTTGTTTTTTAGATGGAATGCATGAACTGCATGGAATTCTTTACCTCGCTGGAATAAATAAAGTCAACGAAATATAGGAGTTTAGTTTTAAATTGGTATACTCAATTTTTAAACTAAGAAGAGCGTTTTGAATATTACGCGCCAAAATGTTGGTTTCTTATTGGTTAATTTCGAGCCCACTTTACACTGCTAATAAATTCTACATTTTGACATTTGTTGTCATTTTGCCTTTTAGTTATCATCAGTTCGTTGTCATTATGTTTTTACCTGCTTTTCTTTCTATTTATTATCCCAGTTACGTATAAATCAGTTCTTATTAGAACTAAACAACTTATTATATTGTTTATCATCCGGTTTTTCCAATTTTCCATTGGATATGGATGATGCTGTGCCGACCACGAGTAAGGCAGGCGCGGGAATTACATCGCCGTCGCCCCCAAGGAAACGAAAACAACTCAGTTTGGGGCATTTGTCTCTGGCAGAAAAGCAAGCAATATTGAATTTGTACAAGAAAAGCCTAGATGATGAACCTACTCTTAAAACTGTCCAACTTGTATCCAAAATAGCGATGACATTAGGTAAATTTATGTTAACATTATTCTGTTGAACTATATTACACATTATACTTTTTTAGGTGTTGCAAAATCAACAGTATATCGAGCCATAAAACAGTATAAATCTACTGGAAGGGTGTCTACTTCCAAACACTGTGGTGGAAGACCTGGGATTGTTACATGTTTGGATGAAGCAATGAAGAATTCCATAAGGCGTATAGTACACAGCTTTTTCTTTAAAAATGAGATCCCCACTTTGGACAAAATATTAACCGAAATAAAAAGTCGTCAGGATTTGCCACAGATGTCCCGTTCATCATTATACAAATTTATGAAACAAATTAATTTCAAGTAAGGTTGAAGACATATCTCGGAGCAAGTATAATTGCAATAAAAACATTTTATTTTTTTTGCAGATACTTAAAACGAAGTCGTAAAAGTGTGTTGATAGAACGTGATGATATAGTGAGATGGAGACTTGACTACTTGATATCAATTAAAAAGTTTAGATCTGAAGGTAGACCTATTTATTATTTAGATGAAACATGGTTAAATGAAGGTCATACAAAAGAAAGGGTATGGGTTGATACTAATATTAAAAGCAAACGTGAGGCGTTCAATGAAGGGCTGTCTACGGGATTAAAAAATCCGTCCGGTAAAGGAAAGCGTCTTATTATCTTACACGCTGGCTCAGAGGAAGGATTCGTTGAAGACTCGTTATTGGTTTTCGAAGGCAAAAAGAGTGGGGATTATCACGAGGAAATGAATGCAAATGTATTTGAAAAGTGGTTTTCTGAATTTTTGAAAAAAATACCAGATAATTCTGTTATTGTAATGGACAATGCATCATACCATAGTCGAAAAGTAGAAGCTATTCCGACAACATCAACAAGAAAAATTGATATGAAGGCATGGCTGCAATAAAAAAATATCGAATTTGAAGAAGGTATGGTGAGATCGCAATTATTATATTTAATTCGCCAAAATAAAGATAAATATAATTTGTATATAACTGACGAAATGGCAAAAAAAGAAAATAAAGTTGTGTTACGATTACCGCCATATCATTGTGAATTAAACCCTATAGAATTGATTTGGGCACAGGTGAAGAATGAAGTGGCAAGCAAAAATAAAACATATAAATTGAAGGACGTAAGGGAACTACTAATAGAGGCTCTTAATAATGTTACAAATATGAACTGGAAAAAATGTGTAGAACATGTGATTAAGGAGGAAGAAAAAATGGGAACACTTGACGGAATTATGGACGATCTCATTGAACCTTTAATTATATCAATTAATAATAGCGAGAGCGATATGGATACTGACTCGTCGAATAATTCAGAAAATTAGAAAGATAGAAATGCAACAATTCAAAGTAACAAAAACACCATTATATAATTACTCCAATGCAAGATGTAAAAATGTGAATCAATAAAATTGTTTTTAAAAAGTGAAAACTGGAATCATTTATATATGTTTGGTTCGTAGTATATTATTTCATTCATATTCAGTTTTTCAATGTTATGTAGGAAGTACCTCCTATTTTAAAAAAATATATATAAAAGTTAAATAAACCTAGAATTAGATATTTATTCATTGCACATTATTTTGAATAAGTACTTAATAACCCCATTTAAAAGTAATGAAAGCTTATTGTACTCAAAATGAGGTTAAACACTTGCAGTAAGTATATACTTGATAGTCTGATGCTATCTGGGGTAGTTTTTAGTAACTTTTGCAGTGTAAATTTGTCTTTGGCATTCACTCTTTTTAGTTTAAAAATAGACTATAGAGCTATGGCTTTATTAGGAATATGGCCTTATTTGGTACAGGTACCTTACAAAAAAATGGATTCGATTCACTTACGTCATTTCTGCTGTGTGGAAGTAACCGCCCATTTGCATCTTCTTACTGAATGTTACAACATCCGGAGGACACTCCAAATTAAAATATTCATGACACCAAAACCTTCCAGTCGGTCCGCCACCCGTTTGAACTTCGTCGAGTATAAGAGCCGCACAATTCTTTTTGCAAATCTTCTGCAGTTGCTGGAAAAATTCTGGTGACGCCTCGTTGTCCCCTCCTTCGGACTGGATCGGTTCAATTATTACTCCCGCCACTGGGTTGTCCTTTTTTTCGTATTTTTCTATGAGGTCTTCAACTTCAGCCAGGCACTTTTTGTCTTCTTGCTGATTCTCCCTGGTGTTCTCTTCCAGGGGGTACTTGTAACGAGGGAAGTGAGCAGTGGGCCAGTCGAAGGCGGGAAAATCAAGTTTGTGTATAGGCTGGAAAAAAAGTTTTTGAAAATTCATATCTTTTAACCGTAGTTTCCGATATAAACTGAACATATGGCACGAAATTGGTTGCACTATATTGGAAAAACCCATGCTCTTCTTCTATTATGATTATCAAGTTAAAAAAGAATTCATTAGTTATCATCGCTTCCAACAATTCACTTGGTATCGAGAGCAATTAAACTGGACAATAATTTCTTATGTATTACTTTTACTTCTATATTTATGAATTGGGGTGATGCTAGTTTCTTTTCAGATACATGGACTAAAATATCTCTATTAAAAAGAGTAGACGTGAAATTTGTTTACAAGATTTTATGAAAATTTCTGGTAATCATCTGGTCAGGAGCCTGTACTATCTTTCAAGACATACAGGATTCCTCAGATGTCAAGAATATTGAGAAATTTTACTTACTTTTGAGTGGGTAGTAGATAAAGCTCCAAAAGTTCTGCCATGGAAGGCACCGTGGAATGATAATATGGAAAGTTTTGGGCTTCCTGGAGGTTGGTTTATTATACATGACTCCTTTTCAAGATCTGTGAAGTCCACATTTTCGCCTCTAATACTTCTGCGGTATGAAATAAATACGTTCTTATATGCATTCTCGTTTGAGCAAGATCCACACATCATTGTCGTGATATGGGGTAGACCTGGAGAAACCTATGTAAACATATATTGAACAATTGAACATATATTCTTTTATACGTGGATTTTCGTTTTAAATTAACATGCACTTATTAAATTGACATGAACTCGTGAAATCAAATGAATTTAAGAAGGTCGGAATTCGATTTGTCCCTATAGCAAGCGATTTCCGCATAACGAGAAAAATTTTAAAAAAAGCCATGTACCTTCTTATATCCAAAGTTTAGTAAGAAACATATATCAGATGTTAATTGAGATAGTCTAGAATAATTGTTTCAAATGTTCCTTATACGTAGAAATCTATTTTAGACATGAAAATTTACAGAAAATAATTTTCCAAACAAAAAAGAGATTAAGAACACATCATATTTACAACAATTTTAGGAAAAAATTGTCTCAATAACATTGTAGAGCAAATTCGATAGAGATGGTGCAGGGGTGACATGATGAATCATAATTTTTTGTTTGTTTTTAATATTGTAATGTACTAGTGGTTTAATATGTTCGTTTAGTATGAGTTACTTAACGCACAAATTGATAAACACTATTGAAAAATAGATGTTAGCTGTTAAAAAACATTTTTTTTAATGGTTGACAAATTTGTTTGCATTTTTAGTTGTTTTCATGGGGACCGCCTAGCCGGGTGTCTTGGCCGGCGGATTTCGATCTGCCGAATCAAGCATCACGGACGCAGGCTGGAATTTGGATGGATGACCTAAGGCAGGCTCGGGGACGTGGCTGTGGCAGCCTACCAGAGACTTGGGTCGCCCAACATTTGCCGCATTATGTCCCCGATAAATGTATTGAGAACAGAGCAAAGAAAATCTCTGCAACTCAAGACCATGCTATTATACATAAACTGTACGAGACTTTGCCTCCAAGCCACCCGTGTAGTAAATAGGATGGTTTGAAGAAAAGTACTCGAGTAATGAAGGAGGGTGTACAAGGGGCATAATAAGGCCTAAGTGCCGCGGTGGAAAAACAATTCCACCACCCTCCGACATATATACATACATACATACATACATACATACATACATACATACATACATACATACATACATACATACATACATACATACATACATACATACATACATACATACATACATACATACATACATACATACATACATACATACATACATACATACATACATACATACATACATACATACATACATACATACATACATACATACATACATACATACATACATACATACATACATACATACATACATACATACATACATACATACATACATACATACATACATACATACATACATACATACATACATACATACATACATACATACATACATACATACATACATACATACATACATACATACATACATACATACATACATACATACATACATACATACATACATACATACATACATACATACATACATACATACATACATACATACATACATACATACATACATACATACATACATACATACATACATACATACATACATACATACATACATACATACATACATACATACATACATACATACATACATACATACATACATACATACATACATACATACATACATACATACATACATACATACATACATACATACATACATACATACATACATACATACATACATACATACATACATACATACATACATACATACATACATACATACATACATACATACATACATACATACATACATACATACATACATACATACATACATACATACATACATACATACATACATACATACATACATACATACATACATACATACATACATACATACATACATACATACATACATACATACATACATACATACATACATACATACATACATACATACATACATACATACATACATACATACATACATACATACATACATACATACATACATACATACATACATACATACATACATACATACATACATACATACATACATACATACATACATACATACATACATACATACATACATACATACATACATACATACATACATACATACATACATACATACATACATACATACATACATACATACATACATACATACATACATACATACATACATACATACATACATACATACATACATACATACATACATACATACATACATACATACATACATACATACATACATACATACATACATACATACATACATACATACATACATACATACATACATACATACATACATACATACATACATACATACATACATACATACATACATACATACATACATACATACATACATACATACATACATACATACATACATACATACATACATACATACATACATACATACATACATACATACATACATACATACATACATACATACATACATACATACATACATACATACATACATACATACATACATACATACATACATACATACATACATACATACATACATACATACATACATACATACATACATACATACATACATACATACATACATACATACATACATACATACATACATACATACATACATACATACATACATACATACATACATACATACATACATACATACATACATACATACATACATACATACATACATACATACATACATACATACATACATACATACATACATACATACATACATACATACATACATACATACATACATACATACATACATACATACATACATACATACATACATACATACATACATACATACATACATACATACATACATACATACATACATACATACATACATACATACATACATACATACATACATACATACATACATACATACATACATACATACATACATACATACATACATACATACATACATACATACATACATACATACATACATACATACATACATACATACATACATACATACATACATACATACATACATACATACATACATACATACATACATACATACATACATACATACATACATACATACATACATACATACATACATACATACATACATACATACATACATACATACATACATACATACATACATACATACATACATACATACATACATACATACATACATACATACATACATACATACATACATACATACATACATACATACATACATACATACATACATACATACATACATACATACATACATACATACATACATACATACATACATACATACATACATACATACATACATACATACATACATACATACATACATACATACATACATACATACATACATACATACATACATACATACATACATACATACATACATACATACATACATACATACATACATACATACATACATACATACATACATACATACATACATACATACATACATACATACATACATACATACATACATACATACATACATACATACATACATACATACATACATACATACATACATACATACATACATACATACATACATACATACATACATACATACATACATACATACATACATACATACATACATACATACATACATACATACATACATACATACATACATACATACATACATACATACATACATACATACATACATACATACATACATACATACATACATACATACATACATACATACATACATACATACATACATACATACATACATACATACATACATACATACATACATACATACATACATACATACATACATACATACATACATACATACATACATACATACATACATACATACATACATACATACATACATACATACATACATACATACATACATACATACATACATACATACATACATACATACATACATACATACATACATACATACATACATACATACATNGTAATCTAGCTGGTAAGTCTGCTGCTAAAAGATTTTGCACGGGTGTAAAATGGTAGGGATATAAATTTTCCTTGTGAAAGATTTTGAGAACTGTTGTTTTACTAACACCGGTTTCTCTAGCTACCTGCCTGCTGCTAACTTCTGGATTTCCTGCCACTCTTACTAAAATTTCTTCTTCTTGGTGAACTGTAACAGTACGCCCTGCGTTGTCTCTTTTAGGACGAAAACTACCAGTTTCTCCAAGTCTATTAAAAAGTTCTTGAAATAGTTTCCGATTTGGTTGCCTTCTATTCGGATACAACTCTGAATACCGACGAAGCGCTCGACGTCCAACATAATCTGATTGCGCATAAACGCAAACCATATCGCGCATTTCTCCATTTGAAAATAAATTATGGCGTGGCATGTTATCTCGCACTACGATTTAGATCATAAAGTAAAGAATACTTTTAATAAGGCACGAATAATACTGTAATATTACTGACAGCACTAAGATAAGTGGAAAATGTCAAAATTGGATTTTAACATAAGCCTACTTGAAAATTTTTGCCGATTTGTAATTGAATGCAAATACATTGGAATTTTCAATGGCAAATTTTACGAGAACGGTGCCAGATAGCGACTATCAAAAAGTATAGCTTTTTTGTGTAAAAGAAGTTGTAAAATCAGAATTTGCTACCTGAGAATTAGATTTTTGAAAGATAAAAAAGTTCTGTCGTTTTCAACGCATTCGACCTAGCGCAGGTGGCGCTCTCTATGAGCTACAAGCAAACCATGGATATATTTCAATCTCTCGCCCCAGAAAACCCCTAACACCAAAATTTCATCTCGATATGAGCATTTATTATGAAATAAATAAGAAAAAACTAAAATAATATTTTGCATTAAACACCCTGTATCTCTGTAAGTATCAACTTTTGGATTAAGGTGAGTTTGTCTAAATCGCAATATTTTCAGGTCAGGAATCTAGTCATGAATTTTGGCCCATTACATCGCGACCACCCTGTATACAATAACAGATTTTTATATCATTATGAAAAATAAATATACATACAAATATTCATAAATATATTTACGGAAAATATACATGTTATAAAAACCTGCCTTTTGTATAACATTTATATTACCTTTCAATGATTTAAATAAAGTAATATTGAAATACTTTACCTGTTTTAAGATGTTCTCCAGCTTTTTAGGCCAGTCGGTCGCAGGAAACACTCCTAACGCAGGTCTATTGATCAAAGATTTCTACAATGAATATGTACTGAATAGTTATAACATCGTCCATATTTTTCAACCATTAGTAACTTACTAGATTGTGTTCATCATTAAATACTTTTAGTAAAGTGGGATGGTTATATCCGAGAGGCAACGACGATATTTGCGTGTAGGTATCCAAGATCACATTGTCATCCGCGTCTACCAGGTAGTTTCCTATGGATTTGTCGTAGTTTGCAAACAGCTGTACTGTACCGCATTGCTGAAAATATAAAAAAAGATAATCAAAGTACTAGTATATCGTTTTACCACAACATATGTGTATTTAAAAGAAAAGAAGTCGTAAGACGCGAATATCCGACCGCGCATTGTTTTCAGTCTGCAGAAATACACCAGTTGTGTTTAATAAATAGAGACCTATAAAAAACGAAAACTTGAAAATTGTGTTTGATAAAAGTTGGAATAAGTGAAAATGGTGGAATTTGACGATCCACAGGGTGATTCAGTATATTTTAACCACCCTATTTACTTTTTTGCTTTTAGAGTGAAAAATGTGAAATATAAAAGATACTTTCACGATTTTTTATGAAGTTTTCGAACATGATAGTAGAAAACCAAAAATCCAAACAAAATAGCCGCTAACATTAAGTTTGTTATTTGAAATGGAACACTCTATATAATTTTATATATTTGGATAGGTGTTCCCCGTCGAGCATAGTCATATAGGGTTTGTTGGGCCCATCTCTAACAATTAGCGAGATGCTATTAAAAAATGAAAAGTAGGTTTTTTATTAAGAGAATAATACATCTTGTAATTGTTAGACCTCTTTTAGGCATTTCTGCCTTTTTCCAATTACGTAAGGATTTACAAATTTAGTTGTAACAATTTCACACAGCTTATACAGCTCCCCAACTGTCTTGGCGGGAACGGTTAGCGTCGATTTCGTGGGTATAATTCCGTTGATTTATTTTTAATTTATATAATAATGAAAATGAAGATACCTTATTTGGACAATTGCAAATGCCAAACGATAACTTTGTTGAGCTCATTTGTAACACTGAAAAGATATTTTAAGATAATTTTGAATAATTATCCACAAAAAATAACATTTATAGCACATTTCTTGAATTAATTAAAAGACTACATTTTAGTCATCCGTGTCAGTCTTTTCCGAAAGAATTTGTACTTAGGTTATATTTAAGGGTTAGAATTTATTATACGTTATAAACTATAAACCAAAATTTTTGGAAAATTCAAAAAAATAAACTTATAATAATGGAGAAATCTGTAATGATTATATTTTAAATACTATATATTATGTTATTATATTTNGAAAACCAAAAATCCAAACAAAATAGCCGCTAATATTAAGTTTGTTATTTGAAATGGAACACTCTATATAATTTTATATATTTGGATAGTTGTTCCCTGTCGAGCATAGTCATATAGGGTTTGTTGGGTCCATCTCTAACAAAGAAGCGAGATACTATTAAAAAACGAAAAGTAGGTTTTTTATTAGGAAAATAATACATCTTGTAATTGTTAGACCTCTTTCAGGCATTTCTGCCTTTTTCCAATTACGTAAGGATTTACAAATTTAGTTGTAACATATTGACACAGCTTATACAGCTCCCCAACTGTCTTGGCGGGAACGGTTATCGTCGATTTCGTCGCGCAGCGTTTATGCCCCGCCTTCCAGCGGAAAAGACGGCTTTGGCGTTCGTTCAGGCGAGTAACGACAACGGGTATAAGAATTGCAATCATAGGCATGGGTATAATTTCGTTGATTTATTTTTAATTTATATAATAATGAAAATGAAGATACCTTATTTGGACAATTGCAAATGCCAAACGATAACTTTGTTGAGCTCATTTGTAACACTGAAAAGATATTTTAAGATAATTTTGAATAATTATCCACAAAAAATAACATTTATAGCACATTTCTTGAATTAATTAAAAGACTACATTTTAGTCATCCGTGTCAGTCTTTTCCGAAAGAATTTGTACTTAGGTTATATTTAAGGGTTAGAATTTATTATACGTTATAAACTATAAACCAAAATTTTTGGAAAATTCAAAAAAATAAACTTATAATAATGGAGAAATCTGTAATGATTATATTTTAAATACTATATATTATGTTATTATATTTGTTTATATATTATATTGTAGGTATGTTTTATAATATGTATAAGTCGTACATCCAGTTCAATACCGTCGTAACTGCAAATTTTTGATTTTATGGCGGTATTTCAGTGCCAACATGTTTAACTTCGAAACGAAATACAGCCACAAGTGATTAAGTTTTAAAATATACCATATTTTGCAGATATGGCAAATATGGCGCAGATGTGGCTCCTTAAAGTATTAAAATTTCAGTGCAATAACGCCATATCTAACAAAATTCTAATATTAGTCTCAAAGTCTGTAATTCTTCTATGTATGTTTATGTATCAGCAACATGTAAGTATACTCTATCAAAATTTTAAAGAGATACCTCTTCAAGCTAATTAATTATGAAACTAATTAAACAGCACCATTGTTTTATTTCCTTCTACTCAAAAATGTTATAATTTACACTTGTGCAGGTATTGAACTGGATGTACGAAGTATTAGTCCAGTCCAGTATATTTGCTCTCGCTAGGAACATGATTCTCATTCGATTTTTTTTCATAATCTTACTAAAAAAATGACTCTTGAAACATATCCGCATGTTGCCAGACGTTACTAATGGTCAAAAATTGTTTAAATAATTTTTTTTAAACAAATTCGTAATTTTCGATTTTTTCGCTCGAAATGCATTTTTATAGGCTCTTTGGGGTATCTAAAACAAAGAAGTTCATATGCAACTTGTCTCTAAAATCTACCGTTTTCGAGATATTCACGATTTTTTGTTCGAAAAAAACGCGATTTTAACCATTTTCTTCTCTAAGGATTACGTCAGTAAACAGGAGCTTACAACGAGGAATTTTAATTACTCTTTTTTTAAGTTTAAGTTTTAAGTTTTCTTTTAATAATCCGTATTAACTCCAAGTACAAAACCTATTACCTATCTAAATTGCCCATTTTCTACTTTTAATGTCATACCACGTAATATTCTAATTCAAATTTCATATTATTAAAATTACCTACAGGTACTGTCAGGTAGAAACTAAATATTTTATTTCAGTAATAAAAATTCTTTTAATCCAGCCCCGACTATTCCGCTTAATCTGAGAGAGTTAGCACAATTCCGTCTCGCTTGGTTCTCGACCGCCACATCAAAGGCGCCGACACGGATTCTTGGAGCTGTATATTATTAAGCTGTGATATTGACACATCGAACATTGATATGGTCCAAAATGCATATAGGTATTTTAACTAAATCTCACTAATTAGGCCGTGAGAGGCTTAATTACTCATTGACAATATTATATGGTAGGCCGTGACAGTGACATGACAATATTGTTATTGTTTGACAGTTTGTTTTATTATTTAATTAAAATGGGTTACACTGAAGTAGAAAATTCAAGTACTACTTATAGGAATTAAAATAGAGTAAAGTTCTTTTCCATACTCTCTTATTCTGTTTCTCTCAGCGTAGGAACTGATAATAAACCTATAATTAAAAAGAAACAGTTAACAGATTAACAGTTCGCTAAAAAATCCGCTTTCATATTGGAGCCTATTTTTAGCAAAGTATAATATTTTTATTATTGTTTAAGTATTCAATAAAATAGTAATCTTTTTGAATGTTTATGGTACTAAATCAAAATAAGACAACTAATGTTATTTTAATCGATATCTGGCTCATAAATTGTGCCCTTTAAAAGACAGCAATTTTTACTAACCTGTAAGCTTCCCAGTTTATTCAAAAGTTCTTTGGTCTTAGGACCTGGAATGGGGGTTTTTACAGAAGGTCCTTCAGGTTCACCTGGCACTAAGCTACAGGCAAATCGGGAGTTTCTTTCTAAAAACACAGGATTATCGTATTATCACTAATATGTTGAGCTTACAAAACTCATGGTCGAATATCAATGCATTATCGTATACGTATAATTAATTGTTTTTTTCCAAATTCCGGGAATAGTTGGATGTTACTGGAATGAGAATATGTTGGACAGAAAATTTTGCTACACACTTCTTAGTGTGACATTTCTCACGTATTTAACACGAGAAATTTAACATTTGGTTATTTTTATGTCATTTCCTTCGTAAATGGAAAATATGGATATATTCATGATGTTATTTAAAAAGAGTTATAATGTATTCCGTGTTTTACTTCTGATAAATAAAATCGTCTATATTTCTTTGCAAAATTGGACTATCACAAAAAATTAACAATACCTAGATACAACAGTATGTCGAGGAAATGGTGGACGATATCTGGGACTTGGAATTGCAAAAACGACATTACAAGATTACGTATTTTTTTTCGAGTTCATTCTGTAAAGTTTTTAGTTCTTGAGGTTGAGAGCTGATAATTGATTTTTCTATATAACTTTTTGTTTTAATAACATTTGGAGAATAATTTTTTGGTAAAACCTGTTTTTGAAGCTATTTCTACTAATGTATTTAATTTGCTGACAGCTATTTTGGGGGTCCGAAAGCAGAACGGCCTCTGCAGTCTACATCGATGGTAAATTTCGTTTTCAAAAGGTCTCCAAAATGCCATGTTGTGATAATATTAGTAAAGAAAATATCCCTCTTATTTCTCCCTTTCCCAATATGAATGATTAATAGAAGATGCCTATAATAAATTCAAATTATCTGAATCACACCAAATTCCGCATTGCTACACTGCATTGCTAGGCCATTTGTTGACAACCGAATTTATTTATGGCCAGGTGGCCCAGTGCGGCTATGTTTGTGCCACGTTTGGCCGCGCGCAGATTCTTCAACTGGACGACTAGACCTGTGTATGGGTATGGCTAAATAAAAATGGGAAAAGTATTTCAAATATTTCAATCTCGAGTTGCTGCGTCAGCAACCGAACGTGGTACATACTGCCAACCTCTTGGTTCTTCAATTGAGATCGGAAAGACTATACTAATTGTTGTTTTCAGGTTTTTACCACTATTAATTTAATTGAGATAGGAATGACTATACTAATTGTTGTTTTCAAGTTTTTACCTCTATTAAGATATCAAAAACAGAATGGTAGTTATCTTTGGTGCCTTCGTATCTTAAATACGATTCATTTTATGTATAATAAACAAATACACCTTTTTCTTATAAAACAGTATTAAAATCTTTAAACCGGGAACTAAAATTAAAAAAAAAAAAAGCCCAAAAAATTTTTTTGGGGGACCAAGACTACCGAGATCGTTGTGTGTCTGGGTCCCCGAAGTATTTAGCGGTGAATTGATTATTCGAAACAGCTTCAAATAATATACCTTTTACTCAAAATTTACCCAAATTTAAGAATAGAAAAAGTTGCAATGAAAAATCTGCCTTCATCTTCCATTTTCAGGAACTCTTCAGGGTGAGCATCAATAAAAAACATGCAAGGCCTACCCAAATCCGAGAGATTGCTTATCATTTCCTGAACACCCTGTATATTCTACGCTAAAATTATGAGACATATTATTTTGTTATTAAATTTTGTATTATTAATAACACAAAATAATATAGCAAATAGGGACAAATATCGTTTATTTTGTGAGTAAATGATAATTATTCATAAACCATTTTAGTGGCAATGGTTGCAAGTTCACGAAACTTTAATTGCAAGTACGATACATCATCATTTACATTCATATAATATTAAGTTCAATTTAATATCTAAAAATTAATTAAATGTTTCTTTATTCGCTATTCAAAAAGCACTTTCTTTATTGTTGCTGTCATAGGAACTGACATTTGTCAAGAGGGATTAAGTATACCATATTTTATTTTTCACAAAAAGTGTTCCATTGAAATTGAATCTGTTGATTAGGTATAATAATTATTTTCAACCTTAGGGAGAAAAAATGTCACTCATCATGCCCAGAGATAAGTAGTCCGTATTTTTTCATTTATGAGTACGAAAAAACTACTATTTACAAACTATTTCTAAATATATTCACTACCAAAAATATGTACTTTTTGTTGAACAAGAACGAATATTTAAATAATATTTATTATACTCTCTATGACTTACCAAACTTGCTCGAAATTTGAACTACTGGCTTGATAAGTTTTGACCACATTGTAATTTCTATTACCCCTCACAACACTACTCACACTAAATGCCGTTTCCCGTCAGAAACAAACACGAAAGAGAAACTTCCACGGCAAAATAATATCGTGCCTACGAAATGGAAAGCCATGCGCCGTCTGCCCGCTATTAATTTGAATTTCAGCTGTTCTACATCTGTCGAAGAACCAAGCGGTTGGTGGTCTCCGCAGTTCAGATTGAACACTAGGTGAAATAAAAATATAGTGTAAATTTGAAAGTGACAGTCACGATTATTCCATTTTTAATTTTGTTGAGTTGAACGTATCGACAGAGAATACTATACCAACGAGAAGCGACAGAATCGGCGGTTCCTTTGATGTTTTGTGGTCACGCTAGAGTTGACCGATTTGACAGAAACACAATCGTTTACACTGAGAGAAGTTACACTTTTGAATAGATGTACACTGAACGAACTGCATCAGTATCAAACATTGTTCATATAATACACGGATAACTGTGGTAAAATGTAGACAAATTAGGTATAATATATAAAAAAATAAAACAAGATGTTGTACAACTAATATATTTATTAAACAGATATAACATTTTTCTGCAATATTTGGAATAGTTTTTTAAAAATAGGTACCTGACAATGCAATAACTTCTTTGGGACAATCTTTGCCTGTAGCTCTTCTTGCCCATTTCTAAGTTGAAGAAACTGTTAGGTATTCCGTTTGGCAATAAGGTTATTCTTGCATTCCCTTTACCAACATATTTGGTTTCGAAATGGTGTTCACAAAACCTATAATTCTTATATACATCAACAATCTTAGGCAATAAATCGAATCTATTGCAAGTTTCTATCCACACTCGAGCACTGCAAACAAAAATAAAAAATTCTCCTAAAGATATTCTCTATACTTATGCTATACCATATTACTAGAAAACATACCAATTATTTTAAAAATCAAAATACATTTTTCTGATTTACAGTTTATAGGTAGGTACTTAAAATAATAATAATAATAATTACCTTTCTAATCCTTACGTAATCTCAAAAGGGTTGATCCTTCACNAATATCGTGCCTACGAAATGGAAAGCCATGCGCCGTCTGCCCGCTATTAATTTGAATTTCAGCTGTTCTACATCTGTCGAAGAACCAAGCGGTTGGTGGTCTCCGCAGTTCAGAATGAACACTAGGTGAAATAAAAATATAGTGTAAATTTGAAAGTGACAGTCACGATTATTCTATTTTTAATTTTGTTGAGTTGAACGTATCGACTAGTCTAGATCAAGGTATTTGGGTTATTTACTACGTTAGACAAAAACAACAGAGATTGTTTACACATCATGCGTAAAGCGTAAACATAAGTGACAAACAGTTAACAAAATAATTGTATTATAAAATAATGGTAAACACCTACTTAATACAACTTGATACATATATTATTTATCGAAAAATCCTAGTTTTCAGTTTATATACAGAATCGTATTTGTCCATTTATGAACACCAAACTGTTTTATATTTTTAACGTAAATGATAAGTGAAGCAAGTATAAAATGCAACTCACTGAAATTTAATTGCTAAGTATAATAATAATAATGTTTTGGATTTTTAAAAAATATGTCTCCCATTATTCGCTCTCGTATTTTTACTCTATTTTAAAAGCTAATACAAATAAATTCAGAAATATATATTTTTTAACATCAAATCAAATGAATGAATGTTCTTTGACACCAGAAATCTAGGTATAAAAGATATCTAATCTCATAGACAAAAGACTCCTACTACATATCTCAACTAGAATTACTTACCACATTGATACGATGAAAACTGGAACCACTGACTCTTCCGATACCTCTATCTCGCCTCAGACGTGTTGGTGCATGCCCATTTGGAATTCTTTGTACATAAAGATGTATAGCATAATGTAGGTTGCTACTGTTTATTTATTTGATTGCCGCCACAAAGTTTACGATGTAGCAATTTTATTGTTTGCTACAAAAAAAAAGAGACAACAGATAAGACGACACTCTATTTACCGTCAAGATATTCACCTCTTTTTATATAATATATAACTTGCGGACAATTTCAGCTGTTTTCAATAAATTTTAGCAATAATGGATTGTACCTACCATTAAAAAATCCTGTTAACACCAAAATTTGTTAACACCTTATATACATTTTTACTATTCGATTAGAATTTAATTTAGCTTTTTAGTTATATAAAGAGTGATTTACAACTTATCCATAAAAAAAATAAGTATGTGATAGTAGATTCATACAAATGCCACAGTGTAAAAATTATATAAAAGCATTTATCTACTCATCATTGGAATTTGGTCGACTCCCCACTTGAGTAAGCGCCGCAATATCAGTCGGCATGTACAAAAAGTTTAATGTTAATTAATACATTTTTTATTGATTCTATTAATTCCTACTACCGTTAAATGTAATCAGTAAATTTTAATTTGTATTTTAACCAAAAAAACATACTTACGTTATGTTACAATAGCCATTCAAAATTTTGTCCACCGACGAATTTGGACACATTTAACGACCGAAAAGAAATGTTCTTTAAAAGAATTGTTATTTTTTCGCTAAATTATTGACAGCAATTTTAATATATTCATGTAGCATTTGACCAAACTTCTCTTGTCCGTGAGATGCTTAAATCAAGAAGATAGTCCGCAATAGGAGTGACAAAGACAGCCCTAATGATAGGGCAGGTACCTTCTGTACTGTATGACTATACCGATGATTACCATTCGACGTTCAAACTCATCAATAAATCATCAATAGTTTCTACTTCAGTTCACACTTCATTTTTTAAATAAAATGAAATAAAAAAGCAACTTGAGAGAGTTAGCGATAAAGGTAGTAGCTTTTGCCACGGTCTAGCTGAAAAATGCCTATGACTGGGAAGCTACTAATACATTTTGTCTTGCTCCATCATAAACTATATCAATATAATTATATTAATTCCATCCTCTATACTCACAGACCTATTTGAACACTTGCAAGACTCATGTAAACATAAACCACAGTAATAAGAGAACTATGAATACCATAGTAATACTGAATAAATTCAAACGATTTTTTTCTTGAAATTTCAATATTTTGTTATAACTTTTTGATGATATTGTTTTTATTTTTAATGACGTATGCATTTTTTGGATAACTTAAGAATAATTTAAAAATCAAAATTATTAAGAGCATGCATATTAAAATATGTTAGAGAAATTATAGTAGTAGTATTAATTTCTGTGGTATGTTTTATGTTTTTTTTATTAATATCTGTACTTTCGTTCACTGCAGAATTAGATTTGTTTTTCTGTTAAATTAATATCAATTTAGAATATCTATTGCCTACATCAGAGAGATCCTCCTGAGCAACGTCATCACCTTTTTCTCCTTAATAGGCTGGTTGACGGCTCAGGAGAGCTGATCTTTCTCTGGAAGGGTGCACAAGGGGCCCAATGGGGCCTAATTGCTGTAACTCATACTGAGCTAGCCTCCAAACTATTCCAGAATCCAGAATATCGGTGCTATTCTTCATAAATAAAATTGGTATGACAATATCTGAATAGACCAAGGAAATTAGACGAAAAAAGGAGGAAATTTCGACAAAATTCCCCCCAAGCTGAATTTTTGCCCAGACTTTCTTTCCCAAACCCAAATCTACAAAAATCACAAAAAACGCAACACGGCTACCCAAGATATTGAAGGTCAAAGTTTTTTGCAAACATCTCGCGCTCTATATATCGAACAAGGTCAATATAAGATTCAAAATCGAGGTTTTTCGCGAATATCTCGCGCCCAATGCATTTTACTGCGATACATTTGGAACTTTAACCTTGCATATCTCGAAAAGGTAGAGATTTCGAGAAAAATTGGGAAGGACGAATCTTGTAGATGATTAAATTCTCTATTTCCCTATTTTTTTTTCCTTTTTTTCCTTGCTTTACTCAAATAGTACGATCGGCGCATTGGTGAGAGGTTAATTGCGAGTGTGCAGACAATAATTACAAATGCAATATTAAGTAAAAATATTATGTTTCAAGTATTTTCATTGGGTTTATAAGCTACGCGAACAGATATGTCAAAGTAAGGGCTGACGCTTGCCCACAAATTTTGACGGTCCTTTATATCTAACGGTATTTTTATTAGCAAGTATGCCATCTCAGTGGAAATGTAGTCTAGTTGGGTCTCCCCTAGTTTTTCGAAAGTTGGTAATTTAAAAAAATATGTATGATTGTTCAAAGTGGTCATGGGATAATGGTTATGGATAATAAATTACCTATACGTAGTTATATTAAAAGCTTACCTTAAAAATTAAAAAACCGCTTTTTGTTTAAATCTACTTACCTCACTACTTAATCCGGAATCTCTTAGGAGTTTTCAGTACAGAGTTCATTATGTCTAAATATTGATGACTGAATGAATACAAAATTTATACTTTACATGTAAATCTTTTAATCAGATTAAGTTGTTGATTAAGATTAAGTATTATAGTCAACATGCTTTATTATTTTTTTTTATTTTGATCTTTCCTTGATGGCGGACAAATGTCATCTTCTCTCTTACTTTCCCTATCTTTTCTTAACTGGGCACAATCCGGCGTACTATTATTACTAGATGCTGGTTTAATATCACAAAGTGAAGATTTCCTTGTTGATGTTGATTGCTTTCTGCAATCATCTTTTTTTGTATCCTTCTGCTTACTTTCTTCGCATTTTAATACAGCACAAGGCGGATCTTTAGAGTATTTGGTGTCTTCTACAGTTTCCGGTGACTTTTCTTCAGTTGATGTCTTCTTGTGTTTTGCCCACGATCGAGGACAAATTGGTTTCTTTTTGCTTTTACCGCTCTTCGGTTTGCAAAACACCTTCTTCTTTTTCCCAGTCTTTTCATCTTTTATAAAATCATTTCTCTTTTTACTACACTTTTTTTTAGTTTTATCTTTATTTTTGTCTTTTTTACTTTTGCAAATTGAAGTTCTATCTATTGAACATGTTTCTTTTTTTTCCTCATCTTTTGAACCCCATCCTTTAACTTCTAAGCACTGTATTGGGGAACAAGGCGGATCTTTTGTGTGTTTAACTTTTATATCACCAGAGGAATCTTTCTTTTCATCACATGGGGACGC